CCCCCCCCCCGACAGACAGCACGAGTTCTAAGAATAACGCATAAGATGACTTTAAGATGTATTTTAGTTATGTTTATGATACCTCTAAAAGATGTATCATAAAAATAACTAAAAGGCATCTTAAAGTCATTTTATGCGTCATTTTTAGAGCTCATGTTGTCTGGGACGGAATGACGAACGCGCGATACTCTTGTCGAAACTCTCGACTACGCGTCCCGTAACATATTCATTCCCGGCATTTACTTACCGACATCTTGTCACGACGAATGCGCGAGACTTTATTTTCGGCACTCCTGGCGATGGTTTTGGCTCGAAATTCGTACTCGGCAAGCCAAAATTGCGGGAACAGAAAAATCCGTGAAATTCGTTATTCCTGCCGCGTTGCGATCTATTTTCGCCAATGTTATCAATGCATGGTTACAATTCTGTGCGAGCCAATGCTAGGCCAGAAAATAAAGAGTCTAAGAGATTATTAGACCCGTTATTTCTGCGTGTGACGTTACAAATTAGTTCCATAATCGCCGCTACGACCCGCCACTTTCTTTAACCGCGAATTGAGATCGTGATGCGACTAAACAATGCCCAGCAAACAAAATAACGTCAAATAACGTCATAGGTTGCGTTCGTTTTGGCGTTTATAGCGCGTGTAAGTATCATTTATCCTTATTAGATTTGGTTTTCGGGTTTGAGCCGCGTGGATTCATCTTTGTTTGATTCCGACGTTTCGCGAACATTTCAGTCCGCTTCATCAGGGAGGAACGACCCGATGCCTCCTCCCTAATAAAGCGGACTGAAATGTTCGCGAAACATTGGAATCAAACAAAGATGAATCCACGCGGCTCAAACCCGGAAATCAAATTTAATATGCATGGACACCGCGAAAGTCTAAAAAATCAAATCATTTATCCTTGTTTAGTATTTGATAGAAACAAGGATGAAATGATGCTTAGAGCATTGTAAGCGCCAAAACGAACGCAGCCTTAATGACGTTTCTAACGTCATTTGACGTCATCTTGTTTGCTGGGTGGTTCAGAGAAAGAGAAAGAGAAAAAGAGAGAAAGACACATTTTCACGATGATTGCTTTCCAAGAGACACAAGTCGACACAAGTATCATCCTATCTTTACTCACATTTACTGGAACAAAGATAGAATAATGTTTATGTTGACTTGTGTCTCTTGTAGGAAAGCAACCTTTATCAGGTAATAAATTTTCTCTTCATGATTTATCTAATGGCTCCTGCACACAGGATGCGGTAATGCTTGCCGCGCGGCGGAAGTTCGCGCGACAACCAATCAATATGCTGCTTTCCGTAATAACCTTCTAGCTCTTACGGAAAAACAACATATTGATTGGCTGTCGCGCGGCAAGCATTACCGCGTCCTGTGTGCAGGAGCCATTAGTCCGATATTCATAGTTGGATCTTGTATTTAAGGTAGTCTTCATTTCAGATGCTATTCTGACCGTTTTATTGGTTACGAAATATCTAAAGATAAATTTAAGATAATCTTGAATATAAGACACGACTGTGAATACCGACCCTTAAAACGGTTGGTAAAATGTAAACGGCCTTAAAATGTAATGCATAAAACAACATTCACAGAACAATATTTATAGGCTGCGTTCCGTAATAATTCGCATATATGTACATTTATCTGCCCATTACATGTTGAAGAAAGATAGAATGATGTTTTCTGCACGAAACGTGCGAAGACGAGCTCAGCCATAAACTAATTGCTACTAAAGATTGGCTGTCGACACACTCTCAAATATTTCTCCCAACGATTGGCAGCATTGAAAGACTTCTCGCTCGGGATTGGCTGTGCTTTCTTTATCCGGTGATTTGACGTAATCTGACAGTAGATGCGTGCCTACTGACACATAGCTATGGTAGATCGTCCTCGTAAAACTTTGGCGGACGCAGAAAAATAACTTTCGAGAGCGTAGAGGCACAAGATTTGTACTCGAGCACACGGCAACAACGCGGGATAATGTCACACCAAACAGGAATCAAGGGTGATTACACGTATTTTATTATGTGGGCCATTGCTACGGCGAATATTAATCTCACTGAATTGTCTAAAGTGAAAGTTTTTTAAGCTAAATTGTTAACTCTTCGCGTCGACGATATAACAGTCGATTTGTTTCAGCCAACGATGCGTTGAAGAAATTGTTCGCTAAGTGCCGCGACGGGAAGATACGAGTGCTCAAGATTTCGATAGAGAACGGTGAGTCGAAGTTACGATAAGCTCTTTATCGTTGAATCATGCGATACATGTGGGTACTATTATAGACGTGTACGCGGAAGTCCATGCAAATGCGATATTCTCGTTATCTGCTATATCCTGTCTTTCAGAGGAACTGACGCCAGCATCTTCCGCTAAACCGATAAATAAATGGCAAGATGATTATGACAAGATGATCAAGCCACTGATTGTGGAGAATCAGCCAGCATATATCCTTTACAGATTGGATACAAAGTCACCTGACTCTGGCTATGACTGGTTATTTATATCCTGGTCTCCTGATACGGCGCCAGTTAGACAAAAAATGCTCTACGCTTCCACCAAGGCTACTTTGAAGCAAGAATTCGGCACTGCCTCTATAAAAGAAGAACTACATGGTACTGTGCCAGAAGATATCACACTGGAGGGTTATCATAAGCATAAGAGGAACGATACAGCACCTGTACCATTGACAACAGCTGAAGAGGAGTTAGCTGAATTGAAGAAGACCACTGCTGCTACAGACTACAGTGTCGAAACAAGACATCAGACACTGAGCGGCGTAGCATTTCCTGTAACAGATGAAGCCAAGCAGGCTATTACAGAAATGGCTAAAGGAGTTCACGAATATATCCAATTGAAAATTGACCTGGAAGAGGAGAAGATACATTTGGTGACAGCTTGTGATGTCTCATTGGATAAATTACCTACCAAAGTCCCATCTGATTCTGCTAGATATCATCTTTATAACTTTAAGCATACTCATGAAGGAGATTATACAGAATGCATAGGTATGTGATAATAGAGAATAAGTTTGATCTATAACCAATTATGAATAAGTACATTATCCAATGACATTTAATAATTTTGATGTTTTGCTTTTAGTTTTCATATATAGCATGCCAGGATATAGTTGCACTATTAAAGAAAGAATGTTATATTCCTCCTGTAAAGGGCCTCTCTTGGATCTTATTCAGTCTCTGGGAGTAACTATAGCAAAGAAGGTTAGTATAATTAATCTCTTTTTAATTAATTATAACAATTATCTCGCTTTTATTTTCTCTGTCTGACTCTATGTAAATGTTTCTTCTTTATTAATATTACTCATTTAAGTTTAAGAATAAATTTAACACAACAATTCCCATGTACATACATACATTTGTTTTTATAGTTTCTTAAAGTATAGTACATTCAAGTGCAAATCTATTCTTTGTTCCACTGTGTCATGCTTATAACGATAACTGCAAGTAATCATTATGTGTCTTCAGCAAAATATGCAATTCCTGCTTTTTCTAAGTCGTGCAACAGTGTATAATACATTGCCACTTTTTCTTATATTATTTTCTATGTGATGCTAAGATACTTTTAACATATATATACATATGTATATAACCGTCTTTGTATTATATAAACGCAATCCCAGTGGGAAGTAAATAGTGGGGAGGAATTGGCAGATACATTGGAAGATCCTCCAAGCATAAAAGACACAGCTGCAATAACTCCTGCAACTCCGTCAACACCTTGTGCCCCTACTCAATCTATACCAGAGAAAAAATCAAAACAGAAACGGTCTTGTGTCTTGAGCTAACCGGCTTAAAGTATTTGTCTGCCATTATTGCTGCTTCTCGCCAATTGAAATGTTTGTGATGTTTTACGCATCAAATATCTTCCTTCGTGAATTCCAGAATTGTGATAGTATGATATTATGACATGGAATGTGTCATTCGAAGATAAAATAATGGGTTTCCAATATTTGACGTTAGAACAAATTATAATTACGTAGCTATGTACAATTCTAAATTAATTTAGAAACAGCAGAAAAAGAAAATGTAATGCATCGTGTAAAGGGATAGTAATCAGTGTTGTTTATCAACATTTAGGATTAATTTGACGAAGTGATACGTATAAACTAGCAAAACAGAGTAGACCAAATGGTGTATTTTTCTAAATTTTAAAAACAAAATTGCCACACGCGTAAAACTCTTTGTGAAACATTACTGTAACTTACTCAACAATAAGTGTGACAAGCCTATGACATGGACAGCCCCATAACACATATACTTTTTGTTTCGCATATACTGTATGAAATTATTCTCATTTATATGGAAAAAGGGAGAGGAAAAGACGATGCCGCGAGAGATGGAGTTGGATTACTTTGTTTGACATTGAAAGCTAAGCCTCACGCATTTTGGACTTCGTATATTTAATATATGAACACCTCTATGTGATATGATAGCAAATGCGTATGTAACTTAGTTTTAATACAGGACCTAATATAACACATTCTATTCATATAGAGAGTTCCTCGATTCTAAATAACTTTATATTTTACGCGCGCGCGATTATTTTTTTTAACTCTATATATCTAAAGTATACTATACTTTCTTAGAAAAAGAAAAAAAATATGGAAATGTACTGAGTCTATCGAATTAGTTCCTAGTCTTATGAAGGTGATATGTATCTTTTTAAGTATCTTTTAAACAGAATTTGAAGGCTTGGCTTTTAAACTCATACAAATATTCATATAGAATTTTAGTATAATATAATGTTTTTATCTGATGTCTGTGGTAACCCCTGCGTACCATATGTGATGGTTAGAGAGTTAGGAAAAATTCCATTTGCTCTAAGTAGATAAAGAGAAAGAACAGGGGAAGAGAGAGAGAGAGAGAGAGAGAGAGAGGAAGAGAGAGCTAAAGCCATTCACCTAACTTCTCTACATATTTTCAATATGATGATAATGTAGTAGACACAAGTGATATAAATATGCAAACACCACATTAACGTGGATATATTTTTTTCGCACATTATTATTTCAGCTACAAGATAGTGATAAATGCTAGTTACTTTACATATATATTAAATTTTATATCATGTTCCATATACAATTGTAAATGCCACAAAATATTAGATTTCTACAAATGTGTGCGTATGATGTAAGACTGATCTTGGTGAGTCCTGTCAGCTGTTAATGCATGTTAAATCTCATTTAAGTCAACTCGAAGTATATTAATTTAATCTTCCGTTATATATGCTTTCACATAGTTTTATATTCGCACAGCTATGTTACGAGGTATCGCGTCGTTCTTATTATCAATTATTTAAGATATGCGACACATATACTGGGATTACTTCAAAATATCTCCAAATATTTAACTAAACATGCAACTTACAGCAGACTGGGACTAAAATCTGATAGCCAGCAACAAAATATATCAGAGGCATTCTATTTTTTGTGATCTGTATTTTTTTAATACTTGTAGCTTTTTATAAAACTTTTTAAACATTTTAGTGCGAAACATGAGAAAATCATTGATGAAAACGGTCTACTTGTTATGAGAATGATTTTCAAGTGAGTCAAATTCTTGTAATTGTTTCTTCCACAAATGCTTACTATTTTTGTACCTTACACCAATAAACACATAAACATATAAATATGATATTTTTATAAACACAAAGTTTTAAAGAAATTTTAAAATATTTATATGATTGTGTATTCGTTGTTTTTTTACTAAATATCAACTTATGACTCCGTTGACAATCTGCAATCTGGAAGAGAGGAATTAACAGCATTTGACTCACGTTTTGCATAGATACAATTGAGAATTGCACTATGCTTAAAGATCGTCTAAACGAATGTGTTTTATTTCACAAGATTATGACGCACAATGTTGCCGAGTATTTTTTAGTTAAGTGTCGTACAAGGCCTATTCCGTAAGTCACTAATTTTATTCTAGCACCGAACTGCTTCAGTTCTAGTTATATCGACTCATTACGAACAAGGAAATTGTATGTCTTGCCAATATATCGAATATACTGGAAATAATAAAGTATAATGCAATTTAAACTCGCAGTTTGGTGTTTCTCCTTATATTATAAATCCAGTATTATAGTTTTTGCACTAGGTGTACATACAATATAGTTACTAAGGACCGCTTAGGTGTGTACTTTGCGATTGCTAAGGACAACTTGACGATTCACTCCTTGAACGGGTATGTAGTTACTTTTAAGATTCGAAAGTGCATTCTCATTTTCTGTTCAACTTACAGAATAGGCCTACTGTATGATCTATACAGTCGCACTGATAACTTGTGAGATACACTTTCCCTGATTTTCTACTCTCGATGTATAATTGTAAATTTCTTGCATATGGTTAACCGGTACATGCTTTAGTCGATACGCACCGACTATATTTACTTTCTAATATTAAATATCGCATTATAATTTTTCTTTAAAATATTTTGACTGCATAGCTTCAAATAACCGGCGGGGAGGAACTTACCGAGGGATTTTTTCAAGAGGAGTTACATCCAAAAATCAGTTTGCATCAGCCAAAATTCGCTAAGCCGAAGGGTCCGCCAAACAGAGGTGCTAAACGTATAACCAAGGTCCAAGAGTTAGCAACTACCGGACAAGAGAGTTAATTGACTATTTATCAGATTGATAACAATAAAAGAGAAAGCAGGGTAGTAGTGTTTTCCGAGTGTATCTTCACGCACCTGCTGTCGTGAAATGCGCATAAATCTTATTGTTTAGTTTTGAAAAAAAGTATTAATTAATTAAAATAATTTCACCAAGTGCTTGTTTTGGCCTATTCTGTAAATATAATTAGGAAAAGTACTTATTCTATCATATGATCTCAATTGAATTCTTTTTACACGACACAAACAAAGTCATCAAGACTTTGCAGCCTTATCATGATAAATTATTTGAATTGTACAAACTGGAATTAGTAAAATTAATTTTTCGTAAGTTATAACTTTCCAATGAAAGTAAGTAAAGTAAAGTGAACTAATAGGCCAGTAAAGAGTATTCGCGATTGTTATTTGCTTTACTTTATTTACTTTATATATATATTTTACATTGGTGGTTTCTTTGAATCATTGCTCACTTGGAGATATTTTCAAATTATTTTGAAAGCTCATGAAACTCCAAAGCAACTATCGATAAATGTATAATAAAGATTTTAAACTCACGAAAATCTACAATGTTTATTTGCACAATAACAAGCTCATATACTAGGATCTTCAACTTTCTTTGTATATTTCGCTTCCTGATATTGTTGTTCCGCTAATCGTAGTTTCTGATTTTGTTCGAATAGATTTTTTTCTTGAAAATCTTCCTGTGCAGCTATATGAGCCCTTATCTTAGCATCTGTAGCCCTGTTATCGCAAAATTATATATAATATTGAAATATGTATAAATGCTATGTTTTACGGAGTATAAATAATGTTCTATAGAGAAGAACTAAAAAAAATATCCTCACATGAACGAAATTTTAATACTAAAGTTGTAAAACTTATTGTTTACTTACTCATTCCTTGAAGTTATCCAGTTATGTTGTGTCTGCAGTATTTCATCTATAGTTATTCCTGACAAATAAAGCAGAAGAGTTGTTACACTACCACACACTCCACCTAGTACACTACCGAATCCAGCACCAACAAGTGATCCTCGAAGTCCTAAGTTCATCTTATACAATAATCCTGTTACAAAACCACCAAATATGTAATTTTCTACTGCTATCTTCCCTCGATATGCTGTTGTGCATGTTGTTAGAGTACTGTAAAAAAAGATAAATTGTCTAGTGATATCCTTCTATAAGTGATATATCTCTTATACTGTAATGATATATTTACCTAAACATTAAACAAAAGAGTCCAAGTTTTTTTCCTAGTACCACACCCTTTTTTACAAAACTTATAAAAACTTCCCGTTGTAGTGCTCTCTTTGCTTCAGACTGATTTATAAATCTTGTTGCTTCATTATTCGCAATGAAGTTATTTACAGTATTCTTACTTTCAATCATACCACCAATTATTAAACCAGATACAGCACCTGTTACTGTCACATTTATGATAGATTGCAATTCTTTTGTAAATAGTTTGTCTTCACTGTAAAATGAAGCAATTTATAACACTAATTTTATATTGTTTTTGACATAAATGTTTTATATATAATCTAAATAAGTTTTTAATAAAGTACATACTTAAGGCGAAATATCCTCTTCACTCGGTCCCAACCACACTCATCTTCTATCAATGGTTTCAACACTTTGTTAACAGGCTTATCATATAAATTATTAGAATCAAATGGATATAAAGCCATTAACGTTGGCCCTCTGAGTAAAACTGAACGTATCATCTTTATTTTCAAAAAAGTAAATTATAATTGTGATGAAGTTATTGTATATGTATACAGATTTGATGAATTTCACTGATGACTCTGAAGCAGAATCAAAGAATTATAATAAAAACATGTACATCATATATATATTTCAAATATAGCAATATAGATAATTAAGCCATTTGAGAAATACACGCGATTATTATTCAATATTTTTAACCTTTATATTTAATAATATGGTAGTCAATAGAAATCTATAACTCTTATAGAATAATGAAGTTGTCAAAACATAGATTGAAAAATATGTATAAATATGTAGGTACTAACGTAATTATATATTTCAAAAATATTCTATAAAATTACTAATATTTCAAACAAATTATGCAACAAAGACGATTAATATGTATAGATTTTAGTTATATATAAGATACATAATGCTAGATTATAATACGGTTAGAATAGATTTACAATTTGTTTATATGTGTATACATACATATATATATACATATAAAATTATGGCATTAACACCAATGTTCGGTTTTTTTCATATAAATGTCCTTTTAATCTATGTTTGAGCTGTATTCCTTGAACATAAGTTTTTTACCTGTCTTTATTTACATTGCAGGTTATTCAAAGATCGCCCGTCCTGCCGTTATTTCGTACTACTTAGACTGCGTTCCTTTTGGGCGTTCACGCGCTGTAAGCGCCATTCTATCTTTATCGCGCGGCGGAAGTTCGCGTGACAGCCAATCAATATGCTGCTTTCCGTAATAACTTTGTAGCTCTCACGGAAAATCAACATATTGATTGGCTATCGCGCGAACTTTCGTCGCGCGGCAAGCGTTGCCGCATTCTGTGTGCAGGAGCCATTACTTCATAATTTTAGATAAGGTTAGATAGTTTTAAGTTTAGGCCTGGTTTCAACGCGAGTTAATCAAATTAAGAAACCTATTCTATAACGTTTAATAATGTCGTTATGTATCGCTGCGCAGTTATTTCATAATACAAAAAATCTACACAATAATACATAACGATGTTGTTAAAAGTTATATAATATACCCCTAAATTGTCCAATCGCATGGATCAATTTAGCAATTGGACAATGCGATTGGACAATTCCGTTGAGTCAATTAACCGATTTGGGTTGCTTTCCAACAAGAGACACAAGTCGACACAAGTATCATCCTATCTTTGTTACTCACTAAATGTGGAATAAAGATAGAATGATGTTTGTGTCGACTTGTGTCTCTTGTTGGAAAGCAACCTGATTACCTTGATAACCTGATAACCTGAAGCAACCTTGCGTTAGTAAACCGGGCATTGGATATTTTATACATGTATATTACGTTTTTTACATATTTTACGTAATATACATGTATATTATGTATAATATAAAAAATCCTAGAATTTGTCAAATGTTTCAACCAATGTTGGGACTATACCCTCATGCAAATCGTCCTTTAGTCCCGGCCTATAATAAGTGACTTAAGCCCTGAACTTTAAAAAATTGACCAATCACAGTCGACTATTCTTCTCATATTCGACTATGATTGGTCAATTTCTTAAGGCTTAGGATTTAAATCACCTATTGTAGACCGGGACTACAATACATCGGTCAAGTATGGAGTGGTTGTGCGTGTCACTGTCCATTGATGACAGTTCTCGGCATCTCTCGCACAAGAACCGAATAATGATAAACAGAAAAGCATGAATGGCACGGCAGAATTTCAGTATACTTTACATCCAAGTGTCCAATAAAGGTAAATCGACGAGATGGTGTGTCGTTTCTGTTAAGTGCGCTAATCGGTTCCTGCTGTCAGAGCGGATCGTTGCTGTCGTAGCGAATTATTTTTAGAGTGAAAGATTGAAATTGTGTTTTTTTCTGTATATGAATAAATTCATTATCATGCAAAAACTGTCAAATTCATATCTGTTATAGACGTATTTAGCTTGTTCTGATACTTGACATTTTAACAATCTCTGTTAACATGTCAACTAGTATAGCTAATCACACTAATCACAAAAAAGTACTTGATATGATATCTTCATAGGATAAAAATTTATATTATGTATAGATAATGTCTTTACAGCTACGTACTCATGCATATAGGTTATGTAGATAGACTTAGTAATACGAATTCTCACATACATACATAACAAGGTATTTAAAATGCAGATAGAATTTATATTAAAAAGCAATTAACATACTAAATTTTTAGTGATTCTCGGTAAAATTTGTGAGATACTGTATATTTATATATACAATAGATTGATTAATAATAAAGAAACTTAGTGTTAATAAATATAAAATGTATAAACAAAAATTCCTTTTTATTGTTTCAGTATATAAAACATTATGAGTAATAATTCTTAATTTGGCAATCAGAAGGAAACAGCATCATTATGGAGGAGAACGAAATGTATAATGTTACGGTCTCATCTTTCCTCGGTGAACCAGCCTTTTGGAACTATTCCGATCATGTCATCTTGGATGATCTTAAAATGGACAGCAACTTTATATGGTTGCTATGTTCATTAGTATCTGCCATATCCTGGATTATTTATATTGCTTATTATAACAGTAGAGTGACTGGTTATGTATTGACAAAATTGTTAAATCGATTTGTTATTAGAGATGGATATGTTAAAGTTGGTAAGATCTTTGTGTGATCATTAGAGATTATACATTGTGTATTATCTTGGATTACTTATTCTTTTACTTTTGCAGGATCCTTCACAGTGAATGCTTTAAGTGGAAAGATAATGTTTAGAGATATAGTTTATATTACAGCAGATTATAGCTTCAGAATTCAGGATGGTTGGCTTATATTTAGATGGTGGAGGAGCTATGTCCCTAAAGATGTATCAGAAGGTAAACTATATTTCTCTAATATAACAGCTACATGAATTTTAAGGCAATTAAATGCAGATCCCATATCGCGGATATGTAGCCTTTTCTGTTGTATTTTGTGTTTTTGTGATTATTTCTATGGATCTTTTGCATCCTTTAAGTGACCTGCTAAATCTGTATTATAATACATAATATTTAAATTATTTACTAACTTATTTCTTTCCGTACAATTTAACAATCTTCTTTCTCTTTTTCTTTAGTACAAAGAAGAGTTTTCCTGTTAAATAAATAAATAAGAATATATGAAAACTTTCTGTATCAATCGTAGATCTTTCGCATTCTGACACGCGGCTGTCAGTTATGTTAAACGGCTTCGAATTACACGTCTACAATCGCTGTCAATTCTATGCACAATTGGAGAAAATTTTTGGCCTTACACCGCAAATGTTTTCCGACGAGGCGAGCCACAATGTCAATATCGACGATCGGGACGGCGAAACTGTGAGTAACGCGGCCAACGAAACTCGACACTCGCAAATCAACGCGATAGATGTGTCACGCCATGTGGACAACATCAGGAAGAAGGAGGCTCATGTGATCGCGCGTACCTGGAGAGATCTGATACCGGTTATCAAGTTGGACATCTGCACAGTTAGTTGCAACACAATAATTATTTTTATCAACTTATTATATGCCAAACTCTATGATCAACAATAAAAATTACACAGTGTTTTATAAAATGTATCTTATATTAAGATGCATTAACGTTTCATAAAATATATCTTTATTGTTTGTAATTGGAAGATGACCACAATTAATGGTCGAAACGTTTTATGCTGTATATTTGTGTGCACATTGTGTAATTTAGTTTTTATATATTCGTTCAAGACATCGACAATCTGGCTCTCATTGTCTCTTATGTAATTTTCGATTAATTCTTTCTGTGCTGTCTTCCGTGAGAGTAAACTTGTAAAATATTGCTGCGACGTTTCCAGGGGAGATTGGTATTTGGCAATCGATTGGTGCCGACTACATTATCGATTACCGTGGAGGAGGCGCACTTCGTATATTCCACGAAGCCAGCGGCGTCTAGACACGATCACTTTATGCACTTCACCAAGTGTAAGGCGGAGAACTTTAAAGTTATCTTGGCGCCTAGCCCAAAATACACCGGTATGGTCGACGATCCGCCTAGGTACATGGGAGAGGGTTTCGTTATCTTAAGTTCGAACAATATGGAAGTATATTATTACATGGACGAACCCGGTGTGGTGCCGGAACATCCCGAGATGATACAGCTAGTGAATGGAGACATGGTCGAGGCGATGCCTCCCATATGGGGCATCGATATCAAGTGCGGAAAAGGCACAGATTTTAGTTACGGCCCTTGGGCCGACAGACAACGCGAACATCTGTTCAAGTTCTTTTTTCCCAACGATTACCAGCCGCTGAAGGTCACGAAATCACCTATTCCGGGGGACAAGAGACAAGTTCAATCGTTTGATATCAGGCTGTCGACATTGAACGAGGCGACGATCGACATACTTTTCAGTAAAAACAGGGAGACCAATGCCGTTCACGTTAACGTAGGACCAGGGTCGTATTTGGAGATTACAATGCCATGGATAGTATTGCAGGACGGATACACTACGAAGATAACCGGCCAATTGCTGCATCTGGAAGCCACGACCAGTCTGCAGTATCGGAGTTTAGTGGAGAGCGAGACCTTGGAGTTTGGTGTGAAGTGCCACTATCCCATCAAATGGAACGACCATCAGGAATGGACGCTGAACTTAACCGGATGCAAAGCAACCGCCAACTTGGTTTATTCGCACAAAGACTTCTTCCAAGACATGATCAACGACTGGGCGAGTAAAGCAAGACCCGACATTCTACACTTCGTTCCTTACACGTGGAAGTTCAGTCTGCTTCTGAAGGAATTCGAACTGATCACCGTCTCCAACGAGTACAATTGGATCGACTGTTCGTCTCAGAATCAAGAGAACGCACACATCGCTTTCTGCGGGGAATTCTTCGATTTGTCGTTCGATCTTCCGTTTGTGGACTTTCTACCGGTTACGATACCTCTGCGTTTTTGGATTCAAGGAGAAAGCGTCGATCTTTCCTTCTACCTACCGGAGGTTAATACCAATCGTATTATTTTATTAGCGTTAGATAAGAATGCGAAAATTATGACGCGCGACGGATCTCACAAGCACTTGCATGAACTGAACAGAGGTAAGAAGTGGCGGAATTTCTGCCAAAAGGAAGCGGGCTGGGTGGACTGTTGGTCCGTACCAATCGTGGCCCTGAGTATCAATTATACTTATCATCCGTGTCCACCTTTGGGTCCTACGCCGCAGGCCAACATAACGACGCCGGAGAAGGAAGAAATTCTCTTGTCTCCCATGCGAATTCCCAAATGCAGAAAATCACCGGGCCTGCAGTGGGCGAGAAACGGCGCGCAGAAATTCGACCCGCAATCGATAGCGCCCGACAAAGTTAGTCTAGAACTTGAAATCGGGCCATCTATATTAATTTTGTACGGGTCTCTGCTGAAGAATTTCATGCATCTGAAGGAGAACTTGTTCGGCGATTATCAAACGTTCACCGACATGCAGCAAAGCAGAACCAGCTCGACGTCCGTGAATGCGGAGAGAAATAAGGATAAAGATTTGCAGAACAGCAGCGTCGAAGCGTCCATGGAAGACGAGGAGATCAAGTCCAAGCCGTTTGATCCAAGAGATTACAGGCCGCTGGAAGTGACGGTCGGTGTCACTATGCACGACATTCAAGCTCATTTGATCAAGAATTGCAACGAAAACGACCCACCGTGTCCGGTTATACTCCTAGAGCGCTTTGGATTTGAGATGAGGAAAGGCTACAAGGAGACTGAACTCCAACTTCTGCTTTCCCCTGCTATCGCTTTGGTCACAGACAACGTAGCGAGATCCAGTAAGGAGCATCATCTGAATCAGGGTCACTTGATGCTGAGCGCGCTGCAAGTCAGGGGCCACGCCATGTTCAGCAACGAAGGAAGAAATCTAGACCAGGAGACGTTGGAGTATGCGTGGTTGATCGAGGTGCAGTTAGGTAAACTGAGTGGAAAGATCACTTCCCCTCAGTTACATCATTTCGTCACGTCATTGGAGACTTTCTTATTAATGGCAAAGAACACCGAGAATGGTTTGCGGCCGCCTAATTTGCCGTTTCATTGCCACCATGGTCTTCCTCCGTTGCAGTGTCCGGAGAGCGATGTCGATAAGCATTATAGGTATGTTTTCTATCTCTCTCAGGAAATATTACTGGTGATCTTTATTGTTGCTATCCGAATGATTGAGTGAAATTTCCTTTCTCACATTGCAGATGTCCAAGTTCCGAAGATATCAAATATAGAATGACAAGACTGTCTATAGATGCTGTTGATTTGTATTTTCAAGAAGTGGGTACCACTGTACAATTCTGGATATCTCCGATCCGTGTTTCCACATGTAATCTTCATGGACATCAGGTGAAGTCGGGCGTCACCGCCGTTCTACCTACGATATTGATTCGGCAGTTTGTGTCTGCAGCTGATTACTTTGCGAATACAAGTAATACTAATACAACTGGCAGCGGGAGATCGCATAATAATGCAAGCAGTCGAATGTCAGGTCGGTATTCTTCGTAGTGCGTAGTCTGTATCTCACGATAAACTCTTGAATTGTATGTACATACACAAATTTGTAACATGAAAGATTAACATCGGTGATATATTTATAACAGGTGATGGCTCAGATATATGGCTCGAAGTAGGATCAGTATCTCTGGGTCCGGTCATCTTAGAAGCCGCAATTTCTCTTCCCACTCCAGAGCACAACTTGCATTTAGTACAAAACAAATATTTGAAGATGCACGATGAGACCACGAAGCGTTTGTGGTTTCTCTGGCCGCAAGAAAGCGGCGTTAAGTCGACAAAATGCGGCTGCATCGGTGGTTGTGTGTTTTTTGGCAATAATCGAAATGGACCAAAATTTTTCAAGCCAAGTTACCATGATCTTCAAGATGGTATTAATATTGCTGCCTATAGGTGAATATCTATATCCCTATATTATATTAAAATTGTTTTAGAATTCTTCTTATTCTTACAATTACATTTATTGATCGCGCGAGTTATGGTCTCTCTCTCAACATATATTAATTATATAAATAATGCTGTACTTTTATCTCGTTTTAGAATTCACGAACCTGGTAAAGAAAAAGGATTTGGACAGTCAATTTTGCACGACGGTCAATTGGTATTTCACACACCACCGTACAGTTTGCAGGATGTGTCTTTGCAAGACGTATGTTATCCTGTCACAGGATTGAAAGTAACAGTCTGTCAAGATGGCACGCAAACTACGAAGAAGAGTACTGAAAGGCCACGATCTGTGACCGACCATAGCAAGGAAGAAAACACTAGTACAAAATTAAACGTTGCTTCTGCAAGCCCGCTGATATCGAATACGGACAGAAAACCATTGGACAGGAGATTTTCTTATACATCAATGCGGTAATTTTCGTTTTTTTTTAATTATCCACAACTCCATCTAAATGGACGATTATTTTATTTCTCAATAAAACGTGATTGTTAATTTGTAAAATTAATAAAAGTAGATAGAATTTTTTAGAATAATTTGTAATGTATCAACATAAAGTAGGCTTACACAGCGTCACATAAATTTGTCTCTGTCACAGCGGGCCGAATATAAAAGATGTACCGTACTCTCGTTTGATCGACGCCAGTCCCGTAGCCCAGTTACCCCAGAAATTAGACTCCGATTCCAAATTGAACGCGGAACGCAGCAAATCCATTCTGAGCGTGCCAGAGATCGAGACTGCACCGAAAAGTAGCGTGTCCGACTCCAAGCTGGCTGTAGATTATTTCAATGCAGCAGAGAACGTGGAAACGCACGAGTCGAGCAGTCCACAGTCTTTACCCATAGTACCAACTGAATTTAATCTCTCGGGATCTATACAATTAACTACGAGGGAAGGCGCGGGAGTAAACGTATCGGATTCTCATCATTCATTATACATAAGAACAAGCTCGGAGGAGAGACTGAAGCAGGAGGTAAAGTATAAAGGGCATGTCGGGGCAAGACATTTCAAGCACTATGTTTGTTATAATCATTTACAAACCGTTCGTAGGTACAACGCACGATATCCATGTCATCTGAAAATCACTCGGAAGCATTCTACTCCGCTGACGAGGACATGAGCCACGGATTGAGCGGAAGCCGAACATCCAGCTTGCGTCAGTCTATCGTCGGCTCCGGTTGTGTTTTGAATCGCAACGACAGCATAAAGAAGAAATTTTCGTCGGACTTGTCGATCGTCGAGAGCTCGGCGAATGTGAATCTCTCGGTGGCGGATAAAGCGCACACGTTAGAAAGAGCGAAGACGCAGATTCTAAGTACGAAGAAGAGCCCGAGGATCAATAGGAACACCAGTTTCCAAAATGAGGCTGATCCGGTCGATAATGGCGGCTTGCAAGATTCCTCGGATAGTCATTCGGTGTCGTCGACCAGCTTCATCTCCGCCGTGTCGTCGCAAGAAGACGTCACGCTGGTAAACTTGCACATGCAAGTGAACAAACCGATCGTGGACTCGCCGTTGCTAATGTCTAGCTACGTCAGTCACTTGACACAGGTAATTTTGCGTTCGATTTATTTGGTATTGATGTTTCTCTGAACATATTAATCTCAACATTAAGTATATAGTGTAAATAATATCGTTAACACATACACAGTAAAATACATGAACTAAACGTAGAATGGAAAACTTTAGGTACGTTGTTCGAATTGGAATCAGTCGTCGTTACCTGCGGGCGGTGATGCGTTTACCACTCCGGTGTTCCAACGCGCAGATGACGGCAGACTGGTTTACATCGGTGGGCGATACGTGCCGAAACTCGACACGGTTACGGAAGGCTTCACGTCGTTGAAGATGATAACGCGCTCCGATGGTTCGCCCGTAGCGTGTTCGTCCAACAAGACACCCACGCATCCTTATTTATGGGACGATACCTCCTTAAATCAAACGGAAGGTACGATTCCGTCGATGATCGTGTATTTGAATAGGTGATTTCGAGGTGATTTACGAATTCATACGGTGATTTAATCAGGTGAGAACGACAATGCGATGCATGGCGAGGAGGAGTTGTTGGCGATATTGAACGAAACCGGCTCGCGTACGACGGTGATCGTGAAGTTCAAGGGAGACGTCGACATCATGCTGAGTCCTATGGTTCTCGAGTCGTTTCAGCGCTTTATCGACAGTATCATACCGACGTTGGGCACTCTGCATCCGTTGACAATTCTGAATCATCTTCACAACGAGTGTATAGGTAAAGTGGAGGACGCGAACATCCTGAAGCAAGACCAGAGTTTGTCGTATTGGAGCCAAGTGCAAACCAGCTCGAAACGATCAACGGCGGAAAGGAACATAAAAAATGGTCAAGGTGATGATAAATGTTAGTTTATGCGATACACTTTATGCGTCGCGCTTCATCGTTGGTTAGTGCTGCTTACAACTCTCTGATATCGTACAGGCAAGATCGCGTTGCAGACGAACGTCTACGAGGAGAGCATCACTACGCAAGTGCAAGGCAGTATTATTTTGCCGAAGGTACAATGGTTTTGTGCGATGAACGATCATTTTTGCTGAATTCTTCACGTGTATGTATGTCGCCTAGTTACATTCAAGATTATTTTCAGCTGAACCTGACGTTGTTGCAAGCGTCCGTCGTTGAAGAGATCATATCATTCTCCGCGCTGGAGAATATTCGCGACTTGACGTGCGTGTCGATGTTTGCGATTTGCCTGGATGACGTCACGGCGCGATTTTATGTGGGAAAACAAGCTCGAGAGGTTGTTCAGACCTTCCATAAGCCAGCTGCGTTGCCGAACCAGAAAAAGGTGAACAAGATCAGCAAAGCGTTCTTACCTGGACATCAGACCACCGCGGTTGTAGCCGACATGGGTGGAGGAGAGACGGTGTATATCGAAACGTCGGAGAAGCAACAGGAGGAAATTATAGTCACTTTAAATATCGGTGTGTAAATATGTTAATAATCGTTGAAAAAAAAAGATATCCAGATTAAAAACGTGAAATTTCTCGACAGGCAAAGCGCATTCTCAATTAAGAAGGCTGAGGAACGAATCTTCGATACTGAAGGACGCGGTGATAACAGCCATACCTGCGCATTATTCTAAAGTGTTATTCACTTGCACCAGAATAACGTCGCCATTAAAGTGCGTCGATTATTATCTGCATCACCTAATCGATGAGAAGGAGAAGCAAAACGTACGTTCCTTTTCTCAGAAATTACTCATTACTTCGATAACGGTGCACGTACAATTCATTGTACACGTTTCAGAAACAAACTGGACCGCCGCAAGCTACCGAAGAATTTACCATGGGATGTGGAGAAGACAGACTAGGGTTTATTATGTTCGAGTGCGGCTTAGAAGGAATTAAATTAAAGGTAGTGAAGAAGTCTCAGTTCGAGAAGGGAGAGAACGGCGACGGTGACAAGAAGAATGATAATGAGATACTTTGCACGGACAGTGTCAAGAGCCAAGAGGAATTGGATAACGCCGCTGGTAACGAGTTATATAATTAAAAATAAATAAAGCAAAATTATATTTAAATATATAAAATATAATATACATTAATATATAAAATAAATTTAAAAAATATTAAAAAATAGAATTAGCGAAAAAGTGACGTGAATAGAAAAATATCACGTGCTCACTTGTACCGTGTTATATTCTTAGCGTCTGCGACAACCACCGCAGAGGCAGAAGCAAAGCCGACGAATCCATCTACGGCCACTCAAATGAACATGAGCGCAACATGCACCAGTCTCACGTCCAAGGTACCAAAGGGTAACACTGTATCAGGCGTGATCGAGTTAAAGACGGTGTGGTTCAATTTTGCCGCGCCGCCGCGTACCCCGATAACAAGGAAAATCGATTATACGAGACTGGATTGGAATTTGCTCAGCACGGCTTCGCCGGCGATCAATGCCTGGATGAATCCCAGCAATAAATTCGCCATTCGAATTGTCCACATGTTCAGGACAATGTATCGAAGATCCACCGCTATTGTCGCCTGTCTCATGGCGGAGGCGTTGGATGTACAAGGAATTCATATGCCTCAGAAGGTGCGTGATCGGGTGTATACATGTTAATGCAATCATCATGAGAAAAATATTTTACGTTTCTGTTAATTATATAACGTTTATACAACTTTGTATACAGAGTCGTTACGGAAGATTAACACCGTTAGCGAAAACACTGCAGGAAGATCCCTCCTGTCAGTTGTGCAGCATATTGCAGAATTATGTGTTGTTGTCCGAAATCGCGAATATCGAGGCCAACTTAAAGGAATCCGATTTACCGCTTCTCTCCACACTACGGCAGGTAATATCCTCAAAATGTTTGATGTGCGGCGCGTATCTCTTTGTGAAGTATAATTTATATATTAAGTATGTAATATAAATTTTGTCTCTTTTACTAGGGTGTTATTGTATTAAGTAGACAATGGAAGAACGTTCTTTATACGCCATTATTATTGGAGCATAATTATAAAACTAAGCACGTTAAACCGTTAAACGTTACTTTCGCTGTGTCAGATCCTGATGAGGTAAGATACTATACTTCAGACTAATAAATCCATGATTGTTATAAGTATCAACGTTGGTATTGTCCTCTTGAATTTTTATGAATACTGAAAGAACATAGGTAAATGTTAAAATATTTAATGTACTGTAAGACTATAATTTATAGATTTCTCATCTCGCGAGTTACATAGAGAAAGCTATTAATAGGAAAAGCATAATTTGCTAGGAACTTCTTCTTTCAGCGAGTAAACAAGACAGAGCGAGAGGAAGGAATCGATGTGAAAAGGAGTAAGAGTCCTTTCAGTAAAGAATACTTTTACAGAATTCATGCATAGAGCGCGGTATAACGAAATAGTCAATACATTTTCTCTGAACGTTAAATTAGGCTAAACTTCTTCTTAAAAGTGCTTCTTTTCCAAATTATTGTCGAATGCTTGAGAAATGTGTTACATACACATGCTTTCAACAAACTGTAATATATGTTTAATGCAACAATTCTATGTTCTACATTGGGACGTATATATTATACACATTTATCACAGGTGCAGGTGCGACAATGCTTATGGGATATTATATGTGGCTATCTAATAAATAATTATACAAAACAGCTTGAAAGCTTCAATAGTTACAAAATATTTTGATGTACTGAAAATTGATTAACCATACAGCGTCGAATTCTGTGCTATAGTTTACAAAATCAGCTTCAAATTGCTTTCAAGAGAATTTAAATAATCGTTATAGATAAAAAAAAAACAATTGAGAGGCGTCACACTACGATCAAATTTTAACATGCAGAATACATACATGCCAATTTTGTGTACAATTATTATGTCTCAAACTTAACTATGAGATACACTAAAAAGCCATTTTTCTGGATTTGGTTTGCTGATGCTTATAGGAGAATCTGTTGACGGACGGGGAAGGTAGCGCAGGAGATGTTGATGATCAAGAAGTGACAGATGAATGTGCTATGCTGATCCACGCGGACCACATGCATAAACATATACATATCAAAGGTGGACAAGATAAAACAGCAGGTATTATCAAGTCAGAGTAAATAGCGTTATAATCTTGCTGATATAGTTCAGTACTTAAAAGAAAAAGATAATTTTTCCTTAATAATTAAATTATTATCATATTGATAATTAAATTATAATCATACAGAATTACTACATAAAATACTTTATATATAGACTCACTAAAGATAGAGATCACACGAAACGAGATACACACATAAATTAATAGAAGATACCTCACTTACGTTCACACAAATTTTTTATTCAAGCTTTTTATATTTCTACATTTCTCGTGCAGTAATTAAGAGGTGCAGTTACATGATGCGCAACGTATATAATCGCAGAATGTCCACACACTTAACTCCATCAGAAGTCACCTCGCTTTCATGGCTTTCTACCGATACCCTATGTACATAAAAGCTTATGTGTGTTTTCGCTTAAAACGCTTTTTCTCCCACTACTGAGAGCACTATTCTTAGCGACCGATTAGCCTGTTAGTCCCGTAATTAACGAACATAATGTTATGTTATACAAACGCCTTGGCTTCGTGTGGAATGACCAGGTATGTGTGGTGATGGTTTGACGGTTCCCGTAAGTTCTCCTCGCGGGAAAGACACGACCCCTTTAGCAACACCGGTTCCAGGCCCGGATTCATTTACCTCTCCCTCTCCACCCGTAGCGCTTCCAAAGAGAGGAAAAACGTTGCAACCAACGCAAGTGCCTGCTAGTACACGTGCAAGTATCGTTTTTCCATTGCTCACCAGTGGTGGGCTGTTCAATCAAACACGAGAGCCAAATAACATAAGTAAGTGGATAGCGATCGAATTTTTATTTCTGTCACTAGTTGATAATCAGCAGCTTGCATTTATCTTTAAGTGAGAGGCAAGCGAAGTAATAACGATATTTTAAGTTATTTTGTCGCGCATAATCTCATCTCTGTATATCATCATCTTCATCATTATGGTATTTTGGTCTTATGGTATTTTCTTTTCGCTAATATCTCTCTGAAATATTAGTTTCCTACGTATATCTGTATTTGGAATTATGGATCTTTATTTAATTGGATCTTCATTTAGTTCTGCTTGTAGCTAATCTCTCAATTGTTATAACTAATAGACTCATAAAGATATATTTGTTGTAATTATATATTACTTTGATGCCAGGTTACGGAACACTCAGAGAAGAGAAGACTCCACAGATTCATATTTCACATTCGCATCAACTCGGTTCCAATCCTAGCATTTACTCCGGAGGTATAGGTCACGGCAGCCAACATAGTACTGGGAGCTTAGATCAAGTAACATCTCCCACAAGTCATTCCACCAAGCCTATAAATACAGGGGAAGATCTGTATAGCTGGATGGCAAAACAGCAAGAATTTATAAAAGACCATGACAAAGGAAACTTGAAAGGGAATTGGGTAAGTTTGATTAACGTACAATTACCGTAAGTAATATAATACATGTAACGTATAATATATAAAATCAGAATGCAAGACAATATGTTTGGAAATGTAAAAATTGATGTACGTTAGAAATTTGTGCTTATCTTTATTTGTGTTCTTGCTTACTCAGGTCTTTCGTACAGAGCAAAAATCCATTAAGGTACACTTAAAGAGGCATTATTTGTCCTTGCAATATAGAACATTACTCCAATATGAAATCAACTGAAATAATCTTTTTTTCCAGGACTCAAAGATTAACACCATGACTACCGATGACACCGAAGATTCTGACATACAGAGCGGCGCTTTTCTCTATCCCATGAAAGATTCTTTGCGATTGTTGGATGCACATCTGATTTTCGAGCCGCTTCTGTCATCCTTATCAGTTATGCCACAGCAAATGTTATCCGTTATTGGATCGGGAAATGTAAACAATATGTCTTCCTTAGATTCATTAGGCTCGTATTTATCTCTCGTTGCCGGTATGGATACCATGCGTATCGACATAGTCGTGAGCGAATTTGGAAAAGTAACGGATAAAAAGAAAAGTAAGTTAAAGTCAATACTGTAATACTGTAATACTGTAGATAAGATCCTAAGTATGTTAGAGTACTTGCCTCTTTTAGGTGATAAAATATATCATTTTCTGTTTCAATATTTATAGACAACAAATATCAACAAAGAAAAGGAAATACCTCGAAATTCTATCTCGACATACCGCCGGAAACTCCAGCCTTTTTGTGCGAAAGAATTGGCATAGATATAGATGTCAAGAAGATGGCTGACATGACGGTGGATGATATGATACAAAAACAGAACGTTTTATACATATCCAGAGGCCAGTTGAAGAAACATACTAGCACAGTAGTAAATATTGGTCTGAATATTCGATACATAAGCCAACAGGTGAACATGCCTCTCCTCAGATTGTTACATCAAATAAGTAACATGTATCAGAACGTGAAGGAAACACAAATGGAGTTGAAGGAACAACAGCCGGAAGGGAAAAGGAATACCAACATAATCGTTAACGAAACTGCTGCGAAGAACGGCTCGTCGTCAAGTAAGTATGCGTACCGTGTGTTATACATTTGTAATTGTGTGCTCAGTCATTGTGTCAATATCATAATCGATGAAATGACATTTTTCCAGCGTCTGATCTGCAAGAGCAGTTCCTCGTTGGCGGCAAGAAGGTTGAGGCTCCGTTGCTTCGCAGCAGTCTCGAACCGAATCAATCGAAGATGCCCGGTGCGACTGTGCGATCTCGGCCGCAGAGTTTCGCGCAGAAATTGCGCAGCACTGGCAAAAGCGTGAAGGGCTACATTAATTTGAGCGAAGGCGTCATCACACCGAGTTTCGGGGCGAGTCCCAGCGGATCCGGACTGGACAAGTTCACAGTGCTGTCGGACAAGTGTAAAGACAGCGCGCACTTGACGCCGCGTTGCTGGAAGACTATATATTACCTTCTGGATCTGTACGCGACTCGTCCGGAAACAAAGACCATCACTCATCGATTCTCAATACCCGCAGACGCGGCGGAACACTACAAGAGCGGAAGAAAGTACGAGATTTTAAACGAAACCAAGGACGCCGACGTCGAGAAGGGCTTGAATGAGAATAGCTCGACGCCTATTCCACCGTCGAGAGAATTAAGTAAATATCGTAGAATATATTTCCACATTTTCGTCTGTGACGTTGAAAATCAAACGCCATTTTGATTCATAGACATCGTGACGGGCGAGAGGACGCGACTGGTCATTTTCGGTCTCGCGCGAATCCACAGGACCAGATTATTGGCTACTTTAAGTGGTTTGAAGCTCGAAGCAGAGATCACCAGTCTACAGGCTAGTCTGACTTGGCGCAAGAAGTCGCGACCCGCGAGTTTAGAGGTCAGTATGACCGGACAAATTGGGAGGACCATGATCGTTCTGCTGGAAGGTGTCGCGCCCAGCCAACAGACGGTTGTGAAGGTCACCGTTGGGAAGTCGCAGACTCTGTACTCCAGTGTCACGAGACGCCAGAAAGACAAGAACAACGGTCTGCTGACCGTCGGCGCTGTGAATATTGATATACCTCAACACCCTGTAGCCTTGCACGGAATGATGACCAGAGGTAGCAAACAGTTGTCGTCGACCTTGCAGGTACGTGGTCGTGAATCGCGTAGACGTCGAGGTTTTCTCAGGAACGCGCGTGACGGAACATTTTACCTTGTAGGAACTCAGAGTTACCAGGACATCGTCGAGAATGTCGCGAGGGCAGCAGCAGGATGAAGTAGACGCTCTTCCGGGCAGCCCGCATCATTACGCGCCAGCTCCCTCGATAGACGTGGAAAAGCCGCAAGCAGTGTCCGGCTTGTTGGAGCCTATCGTCATGCAATTTCATATTATACTTCAGAGCCTCAGCATTACCGCAGCGTTGTTACCGTCCCTCCAAGCGCAATACAAGATGGATCAGGTGAACAGTATCGGCATAACAGGTAGCAAAGCTAAGTTCACCATAGACTTGCCGCATCATAATCTGAGTTTCACGACGAAGCTGCAAGTGACAGAGGCGAATCTACCGTCCGAAGCTAGCATCGAGCTGCCTAAAGTGCACGTTTCGGCCGAGTACATACAAGATGGCAGCAGTAATTTAAATGATAGTAAACTGGCAGGTAAATAACGTATACGAAACGTTCAAGGAGTCTGTGTTGAACTAGTTAAATTAAAGATTGCGAGTTAGAGATTAAGATTTGACAAGTCAACTAATTTCCATCGTAGCTCGTTTCATGCTGACTAGTCAAATCCTAATCTTTAATCAACAATTCACAATCTCATCATTCAGCGATATCTAGTGAGCTTGATGTTCATCTTGGTGTCTTCATGAACTTATGTGGAATCAAATTCTCGACTCTGCTTCGCAGACGGTGTTGTGTTACGGCAGGGTAGCTATCTAAGCGCAACTGCGGATATCGGAGTGTTCGAGCATTCCTTGACAACGGATCTCTTGAATCATTTGGTATTTGTACAGAAAGTATTCATGAAAGAGGTAAACGAAGTGGTACAGAAAGTCTATGGCGGTGAGAAGCCGGTACCCTTGTGGCTCGAAGATGATGAATCGAATAGTTCAACGTTGAAACGAATTTTGTTCTCGTTAATTATACGTATCAAGGTGAGGGGATTTCTCACAAAAAACCTCGTTTATTTTATTCAATTGTTAGACATCTAAGATTTCGTTCTGTTAACATTATTCCTTTGCAGAGGATTCAACTGACTGCAACGACTCCAACGAGCTCAGCGGTACGATTAGAAACTGGAGCGGTGGAGTTTCAACTGTCGAACAGAGTACAAAACGTCTCCGGTGCTACTCAACCGAATCCCTATATGAAGTTGTTCGGCAAGGCGCAAGTCGACATCAACTTGAGTCTGGGGCAGCTACTGAAGAATGTCGTGTTCGAGGAGGTCGAGCCCGAGTTTCAGGAATTCGCCTTCTTCAACACCAGAATAGGATTGCGAAATGCTTTTCAAGAGGAGATGGCCCAGGGCGAGGACAAGGAAGTAGTTTTGATCACCCTGAAACGACCGCTGATCTACATACAACCGATGGCCATCGACAAAGCCATACTGGTTTGGCTGAATTACAAAAACGCGTACGAATACTGGAACGAGAAACGATCCAATCTGAACAAGGAGGTACTGACCGCCACGCAACAAGTATTCGAAAAGGTTCCGTTCGGTCAACTGACGAGTCAACTTAGCGCACCTCATCTGGGAACACTGTTCTTGCAATTAACTGTCGACGATATGGGTATCTGTCTGCCGCTTAATCCTTTACCACCGAACAATTGGAGACTAAACAGAGGTCTCTACGATGGTAGAGACGAGTCGCGAGGTGCAGTCGTGGTGACGCTTGAAAATACAAGCATATCCGCGTGCAGCAGCGGTAGTTTAGTTAGTAAAGGAAGGTATGTTGTCGGGAAGTTGTTTGATCCGTAATAAAATCTTCAATATTTGTATTCCATTCTTTTAACTATATTCTCCGTCATTAGATTTGTCGGCTTATGCTTGAGATTTGCGGAAGACTTCGAGACTTCTTTGGACGACTGGAAGCCGGATATGACTGATGGCAATAGAAAGAACTTGTGCGCGGTGTCGGATGGCACATACGAAGTGTGTAGTAGGACTATTGCGCAGAAACAAGACAAGTCTGGTATGTGATCTGATATTTTATAATAAAAATGATGTTTAAGAAATATACATAACACACATGTTTATGAGCTCTGAACTACAAAGTATTCATCAATAATTAATTTCTGACAGATAATGCAAAGTGGATCTTAAACGTTCAATGGCAAATGGAAGGAGTTGACATTAATCTCGACGTCAGTGTAGGACAACAATTATCAGCTCTTGGACATACGTTGACAATGTTAACTGGGTCCGAGGAGGAAGACGATATTCATGTACCTCCAGATTACGACAGCGACGACGCGGATCAGCCAGATAATAGCACTAGCCAGGTTAAGAAAAAAGTATGGTTTAGTGAATTTTTATTTTCCGCGACTTACTTGCGAATTTCTCATTACTTCTAAGTAAGTAACGTATAACGTGGATAAAGTGCATTATATATAATGAAAATAAGTGCACTGGTTTATGCAATCTTTCGCTTTGCTTTGCGCTATGTAAATTCCGCCTTTTACTTTATTTCGTTTCATAGATTTATCGGTGAAGTTTATTTATACGTTTTCACATTACGATTGTGTGCGTAATTATAGGAAAGTATATTGATGAAAAAGTCGAAGAATTGGACCGACAGCCTGCCGGCGTTCATCTTCGATCCCACTCTCGACGCAAAGAAGAGATCGAAACTGATAGAAAAGGAAATGAACGAACAAGCTAAAATCATAAACGACTTGCGAATATTGGGCGCCTCACACGGGACGATCGAGCAAGAGATGAAACGTTTGCATGAATTGGAAGCGATGGTGTTCAAAGATTTCAGAAGGTATGTCACGAAACACTCCCGTTGCGATTATGCACATTCTGACTGTACAAAATATTCTCTCCAGGGATATGATCCAGAAGTTGAGGAGACAATCGGTTAAAGCTTCCGGTATTAAAGGTAAATTGGGCCTCGGCAGTAAGACAAGTGCGTATCGCTCGAGATCGTTCATCGTGCCCTCACCCACGCCGGAACATCAGTTAGAGAGTCCGGAAGACATGAACACGGAAATTAATTCGGCGAATTCGGCTAGCTACGAGAGTAGTCCTAGAAGCGGTCCCAGTCGGTACAGTACATTTTATTCTTTTCAACTTACTGTCTTCAGATATATGTATTTTCTTAAATTGTGATTCTCTAATTCAGAGCTCGGAATTAATTGTCCATTTCGGCCGATTTTCGGGAGCTACGCCTTCTATCTCCCCTTGCCGCGAGCGGGCCACGAAAATGACGGTCGCGGCCAGTCGCGGCTTCAAGCTTGTAGGCTCGACCGTCACTTTTGTGACGGCAAGGGGTAGATAGAAGGCGGCAAAGGGAAGATAGAAGGCGTAGCTCCCAAGAATCGGCCGAAATGGGCAACTAATTCCGAGTTCTGCTCTAATTGAATCTCTCGAACGTGATCTCGAAAGGCAGTTTATGATATGTATCTATGCAAAGATAATTGGTCGCTTCAGGTCGGCTTCCCTGCGCGTGAGAGGACTCGGTGGACCGAGAGTCACTTTCAGCGACACGCACACGATGTGCAGGTACGTTCGCAATAAATGCGTTAGCAATAAAACAAATAAGTACAAATGAAATATCCAAGTATCGTCTGTCAGGCAATCGTCTCTGCCGAGCGCCGGTTCTGACTTGAGTTTACCGGAGGGAGAGTTAGAGTGGCCGGAGACTATCGAGATTGAAGGAGAACGAGTCGAGTTAAGGAAGAAGAACAGGGACACCAGTTGTACGTCTAGTTACGATAGTATGGAGGGGAAGTACGTGACACCTTACGATTATTTATAAAAGCGTGAAATGCGTTTTATTGAAGTGTGTCACGTGTGTGCTACATTGTCGTTCTTTCTTTCGCAGTGCACCATTACTCGATTCATTCGGCAAGGAGCAAGCATCGTCGACGTCGTCCCCATACATCACATCTCAGAAGACTCAAGAGCCTAATATAGATTTCGAGCTTGACGTGAAAGTGTTGATCAACAGCGGAAAATGCGTGTTGCACACGAAAGATCCAGGGAGGGAGGATGAGATTAAACTGTAAGTAGTCCATAATATCAATTATATTGTTACAAGTTTAATCGCGTGCATTTACACAACATTCTTTCTTTCTCCCTTTACAGCTTGAGCAGAATGAAGAAAGAGAGATCATGTTCCGGTGGCACATTCGAATTTCAACCAGCTAGTCCGAGCAGCAGTAGAAAACATCTAAACAGCAAGGAAAAATCGTCGGCTACTAGCACGTCCCGATTGCGATATCTGCAGCATACAAGTGTGCCTTTGGTAGATTTAACGATATTTCACATTCCCGGTTTAGATGTTAAGGTGAGATTTAACATCCATACAGTATCGACGACAATAAGTTGTTTTTTCCAAAGCAGTGGCATGAGATGAAGATTATTGCAGGTTCATTACGAATCGAAAACTCTCCCTGAAGAATCACTGTCTCCACGCGTGTCTGCCGAAAACAGCCTGTTGAATCCAATCACAATGACGGTGCTTAGGAAGTCCAGCACCAAGAAGGCCAGCCTGTTCGCCTGGATGACTCTGCAAAGCATTCCAGAGGAAACTATCATAAGCCCTCATATCCTTGAGTTTTTAGAGCAAACTTTAGAGCCGATCCCGAGCAAGAATAATTTTCAGAGTAGCGCGCAGACTAACGCTGGCTTCCTCTTGGAGAATACAGACACTTCGTGGGCTGCCACTGCTGCGAGCAGCAATTACGTTTACGCCAGTTTTCCAGTCGATGTCATAGTATATTTTCACATGCAGCCGTCTACATTTAGGTAAGAAGAATCACCAGTATCGACATGAGCCCGACCTTTGACGATAAAATTGAATCTCGTTGCAGATTCTCGTGCTTGCCAGTGTCACGAGTAGAATGCATGCTACAGTTGCCATCCCTCGACATCGTGTTTTCGTCCAAACGGGCCGAAGAGGAGCTAATAGAATTCCGGGAATTCAAATCGTTGAATGCGCAAACAACGGCCAAGGAAGGTGGCTCGGCTATTGGTGGGCTGTCTGTTACAGGTTGTTTGGCAGATTTTTCCGTTTATATTTTTCATCCGTATGGCGGCGGTAAGAAAACGGGCCTGAAGGAAGCGCAATGGTCGCCTCTGTCAGACAGCGAAAGGAAAGACTCATTGAGCATCAACGTGGAATTCGTCAAGTTTCATTTATCGAGAAGCAGGAAACTGAACTTCCAAAGCGAGCAACTCAAGAAGCTTTCGGACACTAGTCGTGCTGTCATACGATTCTCGAGTACGTATGTAACGTAAAAATCCAAATTTATTTATATAAGGTGTTAACAGTACATATGTGTATTAGATTATTCGCACGTAAATACGTAGAGTAACGTCTTAACGTATTAATTTTTGTAATAATTCCTAATGTTGATTTTCAGCGATTATTGATATCGGATCCGCCTCGTTCAAGTACGATATGCGTCGATTAACCGAGATCCTGGCCTTCCCAAAGGCCTGGTATCGACGCAGCATTGTGAGGCGCTTATTTCTCGGAGACTTGAGTTCAGGTGCCTTGTATTCCGAAGGAGATGGCAGTCCTCCATTGAATCAAGAAGAGCATCAGGCAGTCATGGGCAGTTCATTGCTGAAACACTATGACAGGCATGTGTGCGATCCACTGTCCAAGAGCGCACCTGAAAGGAGTCCCGTGTTGAACAGAGATAAATTGAAATTAAGCTTGGAGAATGACGCACCGAGACCCGCGCGATTGAAAGGTATTTTTTATAATCTTGTGATTTGCGGTGCTACGGTTTAAATTTGACTTGAAGCTTACGTCAAACGTTATTGTTGTGTCCAGATATCGGAAGAGGGTGGAGTTTTACTACGGATAAACAAATATCGTCTGAAGTCAAGCTGAGGGAGTCCGCGTGGGAGACGTTAGTGCTGTTCGCGGTGAACTTTACGCGCTTGAATGTGCACATGAACATGGGTAACGTAATGGGTAACGTCAGTTGGATGACGAAAGACTTCAGGTCAGACGGCAGACTGTCTATCGGTAGTACAGGACACAAAAATCTCTACATAGGCGTCGGTCTAGGAGGCTCGAGCTTGGACGCGAAAGGTGGTATAGTTGGTGGGACAATTGAATTGAGCAAAATTGATACTTATAGTGAGTAATAATATCAAGCAATAGTATGATCCAATACGTGAATAAATTTATGATACTCGGTAATTCGTTGATAACGCGTTTTTTTGCGTATCTCGCAGTACATATCCGAGAAGAACCCGGAATAGAACCTGACCATACCGTGGGATTGAAATTGTTTGCGTTGGAATTACGATTGGACTATATGGGTACGAGTGTTTTGATGTCTCGAGTTTCTTCGTTGGACGTTACTCTGAGAGACGAGTGGAAGATCAATCGTAACAGCGGCGGAGATGCTTTTATGCCGACAAGAAGGTTTGTTTTGGACTAGTTTTTACGGAATACAGGATTTTTACATTGACAAGGGAAACGATAACACTCTTGCTGATGAACAAGACATTCTCTGATATGTTTGATTAAACGATACACAGACCCGCGATCATTTTTATGCACGGAGATCTGGGTTGGGATCAACTGCAGATTATGATCAGCAAATCGACAACGGCCGATCTATTGAAAATGTTTTACAAACTCGACGAGTTCTTCAGCCAACAATTCAAAAGCAGTAAACGTGTGTTCAGCTCGCTGCAACCGAGGCATCAGAGAATAAACAGTAGCAGTTTCAAAAAGAGGCAACAGAAGAAAAGATCCGGTGCTGATGGTAAATTCAAACTGTCAAGCTGTCGCATGCGACAACCATACGATATCTTTATAATGAGAAAGCAAATTAATGTCGTTGCAGGCCCATGGAGTTTAAACCAGACTGCGATATCAGATGCTAGACATCATAGACATTGGCAAAGAGTGTTGGCTCAAGTAGCTGGTCTTCAATTAGGAAGCTTAAGATTTTCCCTACCGTCAACCGGTACCGTCCTTGGTGGTACAATGGAGCTTCATGGCTCCAACATTAGCTTAGCCTGTTTCCACGGGATTAATTTTAAGAGTAAAAGCTGGGCTTTGTTCTCGCTGAAGGAACCCTGCATCAGTTTCGCCACAGAAGCCCAAGAGATTCCAAGTGTTGAAAGTAATTGACATTATGCAGCACTTATAATCCATAAATCTTTAATTTTAGCCGCGTTCTTTCCACCGAAGTATTACATGATATCTTCTTTTGCAGCTCCTAACACATGCGACGTTCACGTCGTGCAAACTTTAACCATTAGCTTGGGTCATCAGCAAGAACAGCACGCGCGGCATCATTCCATGGCAACCGTCTGTAGATTAAGCCGAAGCGTTCTATTTCCCCCTCAGTTCAAATCTCTGCAAGAATGGTTCCATTATGCATTCGCCAGTAGTGAGATCGATGGTAGATATCGAGTTCCAAATTATTATTTTTTTGTCTCTACATATTATATTATGCTTGTGTGCGATACTATCTGATTTTTTCTATCGTTGTGCAGCGGTAGACAGATTCCCGTGTGTTGAGAGAGACAGAATAGACAATACAGCCGACGCTAGCAATACAACGCGTGGCAGAAGCACGTCCGCGACATCCAGCAAGCTGCAGGAACATTCGCACACGCGGGAAGTGATATTCGCTCTGCCGTCTATGCAGTTGCATCTGAAAACTGAGCATCTGCAAACCGCCAGGACGCCAGATGTCATAGGTATGTGTATGAATGTTGCGTAATTCTTTAAGTACATCTCTGCGGGATACAGTGTCATTCGCTTGTCTGTACAGAAATCTATCACTGATATAATTTTCTATAAGATACTAAAACATGTTGAATCCATTAGCGTGTGCAATGGACGTTTAATACTTACTCATATGGTAGTTTGATTTGGAGACGTTACATAATTATATTGATAAATATGTATCTTTTGTCGGTTTAAATGCCTTTATGTTGAATTGTTTTAAGCGCACAACATAACACACGTTTCTTTCTCTTTATTACGCTAATTGTTCTCTGCAATCGGTTCTTTCGTGTATTTTTAGGACTTCCTAAGCATATGTTGTATAGTAAGTATGGAGCGAGCATTTATTCTGTTTGAAGGGGTAAGATGTGTTAGAAGCCTGTTTAGTACGCTTCACGTATTAATTAGATGCTTAAACGACATTGATATCTATCGGTATTGCGGTTTAACAGATCCTCTCGCTGTTAATCTAGAACATGACGAGGAAAACTTTTACGTTGAGATAATTATTTTTTGCACGAAACCGCAACATAGCTTTATGTAAGAGTTCATTATTGTTTGATATAATCGCGTTTATTAGCGTTGTTTATGTAAGCATGAAAATTAGTTGTTATTTGGCACATTTATCCAAGAGTATATCTATTCGCGTGATATTATCGTTCCGTTAATATAACTACAGAAGAACGTAGTGCATATGAAAGTGTGCTCCACTTCAAAAGGTATCCTAATAACACTGTTATATCCTATTACTTTGACTTACAGGTGAGAAACCGTTGGTCGAGTGCAGCTTCATAACGGAATTCGAAGATCACATATTTGTTACCGTCGACGCTGAAGCCTTCTTCTTCCTGCATGATCTCATTACATCATATGTGAAAGAAAAGGAAAGAGTGGTAAGAAATCTCGAGCGCCGAGCGTTTTTAGGACATTTTGACTCCAATTTTAAAGGTGAATTTCATAAAATTATTTCTTCGCAGCATACGATGCAGAACATGAGCGCCAGAGCGCACAGTCCCGATCAGCAAGACAGGAAGAGTGCAAGCGCAAGCACCGCCAATGCGTCCAACGTGACCGTCAGTTCCGAAGACGAGAAGAAGCGCAAACAGTTCGATCCAGCTGAGATGTTTATCAAGGACTGGCGATCGTACAGATGCAAAACATGGCACTTGGAGCCGACAGTGAGGTAAGTTGTCGTTTATGAGTTGAAGTACACGTGGTTTCGTGCATGCTGCGCGCAAAACTGCTGAGGATAACCGTTGTCTCTTTCGCTCCTATCAAGGCTGCTCTCGTGGGCTGGAAAAAGTATAGAACCTTACGGCATAGATTACATTCTTCAAAAACTGGGTTTCTCTCATGCACGCACGACGATACCAAAATGGATACAACGAGGATTCATGGATCCTTTAGACAAATTGCTCGCTGTTCTTATGTTAAGAATGGTATTAGCTGTTCGTGAGGAACCATCGGACGAACAAAGAGAATATAAAAGAGAAAAATAATACCAGATTTTTTTTTCACAAAAGCATCGAATGTAAATGATAATGATCTCGTGGTACGTATCCGTTTCAAGTATTTTATGCGAATTAAATATTACAATGGTGCAATAACTGATTAAGAAAACAAGGAGAGAGAGAGAGAGAGAGAGAGAGAGAGAGAGAGAGAGAGAGAGAGAGAGAAAGAAAGAAAGAAAGAAAGAGAAACATGATACGTCAGTGCTACTTAAGGTGTGATAGTCTATGCATAAAGAGTAATGTTAGATTCATATATAAATTTTTCTTTCCTATAGTTTAAAATAGCGATATTTTGAGAAATAGCCGCGATAACAGTAAAGTAATTGAAACAGAGAACCATAGTGGTTGACGATAAATCGAACGATAAATCGTTCTTGGTGAAAGAACTGCGAGGTTTATATTTGTAAACCTGATATTCTTCAGATATATGTGGTATAATGTGTTTCACTAGAGACTTGTAAGAATAGAGACTGTAATTAACACAACGTGACGAAGTATACGGTTTCAAGCGACTGTATAGTGCCAGTACAACACGTGTTGGTTGTTAGATATTTTACGCTTTATATCTTAATCGAAGAGTGTTATAATTTCTCTAATTTTAATTGCCACACTGCTATTACAAAGATAGTATTTTGGAACTCACTAATACATTGCTGATGTGCAAATAATCGTTCACATTTCGTCTGTTCGAAATATTATCTGTTTTATATATATATATATATATATATATATATATATATATATATATATATATATATATATGTGTGTGTGTGTTACAATTTGTAAAGTATCGTGATGTATCATTTTCTACACGATGTAGAACATATTCTAAAGACAATTTTCTATGTGCAAATATAGATAAAAAAATACATTATACATCTTTGTCATTAAGTAGTAGGACAATAATTCATATGGAACGGTATTAAGTGATTGTGTTGTATTGTTTTACTCTATTGTATTGTATACATGTTAAATCTGCCGTTGTTCGTGATATATATAGGTATGAATTTGTAAATTCTATTCAATTTTTTATATGTGGATTGTATATATTCCTTTCAAAGTATCCATCCAACATAAAATGTGATAATTCTTTTTTCTGTATCTGTTATACACATCATGTATAATACTGTCTGCTATGTCTTATTTGTTCATAACATTTCTTTGCAAGCTCTTTAATACAGCTTAAATATACATAAGTGGATTTCCGATGCGCCTTTGTGATCATTATCGATCATGACAGAGTTCTAGAACAATCTATTATTTCTTTAGATAATGTAAAAAAGAGTTTTATACTGATATGTAAATACGCGTGAGATAATTGAAGTAAGTTAAATCTAATCCCCCTGGCACCGTCATTAGTATAAATATTCTGGGGCATATATGTAGATATATTCTTTTTAGATTTTAAACTTTGTTGCTTCAGCAGCAATATGTACTGAACATGTATTTACCGATACTGGAATAAATGTGCGTTTATAACTAATTATTTAAACCTATTTTTATTATAATGATATATTAGTACAAGTGTACAAAAAAAATCTAATTCTTGTATATTTAAAAATTTAGTCAATTATCTCATTATTAAATTCCAAACCATAAAAATACTTTAACAATTTTACCCTCTCTCTCTCTCCTGCAATTTTATATAACAGACCGAATTTTTCTCCATTTATATATTTACGAGAGAGTTATCAAATATAATTTATGTGAAAATTACATATGCTGTTTTATATATATTGTATTATATTTATTGTATATTGAGTCATTTAGAATAATAAAAGTGATGAATAAATCATCGTGGAAACAATGTAATTATGAATATAAATTTATTACTCGCAAAGAGAATGCGCAAGAGTAGGGCTTAAAAATATTTTTACTTATATACGATATATCTTATTACTATACATAATTATAATACATTTATCTACTTTTATAATATTATTAGATTATATAGCTTCACACATTAAGATACAAAAAAATCATAATACAATAAAATAACAGCTTATACGCTAAAATTAAAGCATAGAAATAATATTAAATAACAATAAAGGGTCAATTATAGACATTAAGAAAAAATCGAAATATACAAATGCACGTACGGACAGGAAACTCGATTGGGTTTCTCATATCCCACAATAACAACTTTTCTATATCTTTCTATGTCTTTCCGATTTGCTCTCTTTCATTTGCATGTACCGTAATTATTATGATATTTATACCCTGTCAGACGCGTTTGATAATTGTCTAAAGTGTTTAATGTTAAAGGAGATTTTTACGTGAGTACTGTCGCAACATAAATCGAATCCATAAGTAAAATTTGCCAATATATCATTTAGCAACGCTCTACATTAATCTGCTATATCATAATTATATAATTAAGTGTATATTATTCTGTACAATAAAGTATAATTTATACAATTCCTATATATATGCATAAGATATATATATATATATATATATATATATATATATATATATATATATATACACACATACATACATATATATATATACAGGATGTCTCACACTCTCCTCTGGGCATTTTGTGGGGACGTAGAATGGGTTGATGTGAACATGAAAGTCCTATACCGTTTTGCGATATTCGCAATAATAGTCGAGATATTAATTTAAAAAAATTAAGGAAAAACGCACGCTGAATGGTAGAGGACGGGAGCGCTCGAAATACAGCGCGGCCCAGTAATAAAGTGCGCGGTGATTGGAAGACAATGCACCTTGCCTATTCTTATCTCGGCGCGGTGCGGCAAGACGTTGGAACGCAGCGATATAAGTATTGGCAGTGGTGTATTGTCTTCCAATCACCGCGCGCTATATTACTGGGCGCGCTATGACTCGAGCGGTCAGTCCTCTACCATTCAGCGTGCATTTTTCCTTAATTTTTAAAATTAATATCTCGACTATTATTGCGAATTTCGCAAAACGGTATAGAACTTTTATGTTCACATCAACCCATTCTACGTCTCCACAAAATGCCCGGAGGAGAGTGTGAGACACTATGTATATATATCTCTCTCTCTCTATATATATATATATATATATATATATATATATATATATATATATATATATATATATATATAAATAATTATCCAAATTTCAATTTCTCTACAATACATCACAAGTTTGTGCACTGAGCTTCGAGTATAGACACAGACTATCTGGCACACAGATAATCAATTGATAAATTATGATGTTTCTGTAAAAACGTTTTCTGCCATACAGAATATGCGCGTGGACGGCAAGGGTCTTATCGTTCGTTCAAATAGTTTGGAGATTGTTCCTCATCTTCATTACACAATTCGTGTGTTAATATAATATAGGTGCGTGTCTATAGCCATTATTGTTATACGAAATTGAAATTAGCACGTTTACACAATCAGAAATATTCGTTTCCTAATAGCTGCTCTATATTAAGCTGTTTATGCGCATATATTTCTACCGTTTGTAGCGCAAGTGTGGCAAAGTATGTGTGCACATACGATAATTTCATTATATATGTAAACATTTATTATACAATATTTTTAGGAACTCGCAATTCTATAATACGGTTCACACAATATAAACAGGTAGTATTGCAAATAAAAAATATTAAAATAATTAGTTGTCTCGATAATCTGTATTACTGTGAAAAAGAGATATCCAAAGTAAAAATAACTTATTAAAAACCAACGATAATTGTCATATTTAGATAACGATATTGCATAACATATAACGACATTAAATATTCAATATTACGTTGTTTGTACACAATTATAAAGTGAAGTTCATTGTATAGCAGACACATTTTTTTACACCTTAAACGCTACTATGCTTTGTGCGATGTATCTTTTGATAATGAGCTTATTCAGCTCTGTAAATGTTCAAAATGTCATTATCAATCAGCAGCTTTAGGTATTACATTCTATACAACAAATTATCCATAAATCAGTATCAAAAATTAACATGTCGGCTACGTAGAGAGAATTAGATACCTGTGCAGAAATACAATTTTTACGAAACTAGTTATATCTCTAGTATAATGGATTTCACAGGACTCAACTAACATAATTAAAAGACGCAGTATGTTGATGGATGCGAAACTGATTTTTTATTCGAAACGAATTTCGTTCGATGTAACAAGAAAATGACCGTGTGCGTTTCTCAAGGCATACTTGTGTAAGTAGTTTTTTTTATAGTGCACCCATCAGCCACTGCTGATTTGTTCGTTTGTCACTATCACTATTTATACTCTCTGGTGAACGAGATAATCGTATTGTATATGCATTTTCATATAGTAACTAAAGAAATTTCCAGCGTAAGATGACATGAATGTTACATTATCTGGAGTATTACGTTTATATCGGTAAATAATATTACTACGTAATGCAGTACGATGACGTATAAAATACAAGTATACTGTAAACTATGAAAGCAGAGGGCAGATTACGAAGGCACAAAGGCTTTTCTCTCTTAAATAGAATAAAAAATCTAGCTTTTGTTAGACTTTTAGAAACTTATCAAGTTTCCTACAAAGTGCACTGTACAACGAGAGAAAACTTATTGCTCCTCGCAGTCTCGATAAAAGTGTAATGTAAATTCCAAATAATCAACACCATGTTTGCTCTTGCAAATATTCTGTAACGAAATAATATTCGTTGATTAATATAGCTTGTTTGAAAACAAAAAAGATTTTAGTTCAAAAGAAGGATCGTTAATTAGAAACATAATAAATACATGCAAATAAACATCAATATATAATTACCTCTTGAGGTTGTATCGTAGGTATTCGAAACTTCAAAGTTTTCCTGAGGTAATGAGCAACATCAAGAGGAAAAGATTGATCACTTGGTTGATTGTTATTTTCAATGTATTGATTTTGTTGCTGCATAGTGTAACTCCAATTGCACACTATCGTTTCGTAAATGCCGGAATTTGGTGAGAAAGGACATTGCTGTACAGTTTGCCAGTACGGCATGCCACTGTGAAGAAAAATCGTAGTTGTACACTGTCCAAAATGTATTTCATAAATAAAAGAGCAAACACAACTCACACAAAGTGTAATGTTAAAAGTTTATCCCGCATATATTTCGACAAAGGTACAATGCAGCTGATGTTATTAGGTGTGTCCAACGACGTCGGAGAACAATATCTTTGATCCAAAGAGGTATTGAAATTTTTCGCAACCACAAATAATTGCGGCTTGGGTTCTAGCGGCAATGATCCTGCAGCGTTGCTAGCCATCTCTCCCCAATCGCCGCCGCTAGTTTCTCGCCTCGCTCGTTTATGCAAATACTTATAATTGGCCTGTAAAATATGCATGCATTTCTACATGTATCTTTGTTATAAAGTTGTTATTATTGTACAGTGATTTAAATGGAACTCCATACCTCCTTTACGAGAGTCTGAGTACTGGGGTCAGATGGACTAATACCATTTTGAAAACCTTTATTTATCTTTCGTTTCTCTTCGTGTATATTGAGTGGTTGCTCCAAGTGATCTGCTGAAATAGAATAAAAAGTCTGTCATACAACGATATATTCCTATATTATATAAATTACAAAGGACTTGTGTGTCAGCAGTTGGTAAAAAAGTACTTTAGATTATCCCTTAGAGAAGATGTTATATCTCAAAAGAATTATAGTAAGTAAAGAGAAAAATACTTTTCTTCTTATTTACTCTATTTATCTTCATAAGAAAGCACATATAAAACTTACAAATGGACTTCTTCTCTGGTGGATGATCAGGCTGAGGATTCTCCAACTGCTGAATATCAGCTGTGCAACAATATACCTAAAAGACAAATTTTTAAATTAATTAGGATAAAGTTTTATCTGCACATCATTTTGGTAACTCTTTGTGAAGTCGTAAAATTTCCAAGTACCTCACATGGACTTTCGAGCTCGGTGAAGTGTGCTGGACATTCTTGAGGTCTTCCTAAAGGTATCGGACCCTTATTAGTAGATAAAGAATCTACGTCCGAGGCTTGCTCGTTTTCATCCACGTTACTAGGAACAGCACCCGCACCGTTTCTACCAAGCCAATTCCCAGGGAAATCACTAAAATATTATCAATATAGTATTATCAATATAATTAATCTTGAATCATTGCAAATATTTTCTTTTCATGATAACATTATCCCGAGAAAAATATATTTTACTAACTTATTTTTGTCAAGTTTAGATTGCGGACCCGAATGGCTTATTGGATACCATGTTATTTCTTGAGAATATAGCTGCTGTTTTGTATGCGACGGTGGTGTGGTAAGAGAATTACTTTTGACAGATAATCCTCCGTCTAATCCTCTTGTATAAGAGCCGTGCTTGGTATACAAAGAGGCCAGCGTACTATGTAATAACGAATTGTATCGTGGATCGTAATTAGGAGTGGTAGACATAGTCGGTAGATGAGGCGAACCGTTGGCCGATACTCTATTATTCGTCATCAAGGGCAATTCAATGCTATTGCTATTGCGCTTTTGATATTCTAAGAAGTATAAAGTTGCCATTGCAACCAAACTGAAAGTCGTAACATGAATTAATAGGATGTTTCTCGAAGAGACAAGGCTTGATCAAAGTACTTAAAGCTCAAGTTAAGAAGATAGTTACCAAAATGCCATGATGAGGATAAGTATAACAATAATAATTTGAATAAATTTATTACTGCAGAGGAGATCTTCCTCCCTTTCGAGCCTTTTCGTTTTTCCATGTAAGGACGATTTACTATTGATAGAAGATGTATATTTATTGCCTGATATACTAGATACTGTGCTGATGGAACTCTTTAAACTATCACCTCTTTTCAATTTCGCTAGTCGTTTATTTATTCTCTCTAATTGATCTATTCTCGTTTCTAGACTATCCGTCACCTGCAACATCGTCATCGTTATTCAGAGACAAAAGTAGCGCGCATTTAATATCACACGTATTAATATCGCGAAGATAAGATCTATACCTTACACAAGATAAATCTTACCTTACACAATTCTTTGACCGCGCCAACATTCTCCATAAATATTCTCTCTTTATTTACTACGAGGAAATTTTCAATTCTCTGACCATTTGGCAGAACTATATCGCCGGCTGGCAGGACAGCTTCCGGCAAAATTTGCTGCACCTCTTGCGCGATTACGCCGGTATCTTCCTGTTTGACATCCAAGCCCGAGTGCTGCGCGAATTCCGGCGCGTATCGATAACGTACAACACGTAGTTGTTGCACGTTTCGTAACTGCTCGCGCGTATCCACTTCTTGGACGTTCTGCTTCGCCCTCGCATCGCTAGGTTGAACGATGTGACCGGTTACCTAAGACGAATATAACGACGTTTTAACTTGTATGTTAGGAAGTGAATTCTCGATTCAATGTAATCGACAGTTTCGTACTTTCATATTGCCATGTACGACAAGAGCTTCGTCCGGCCTGTCCGTGTTGACTCCGACTCTGCCCGCATGGTAAACGCTATCTGGTGCTGCTCCTCTCTGCCATCCACCTTCAGCACCTACGCCACTGCCTTCCGATTCGAATTGCCCTGGATTACTTGCCTGTGTGGAATGCCAACGTAAACGTATAAGAGCTAGTCCCAGGTCCCGGCTTATTTCATCATTGATTCACATACCCTGACAATTATACGTTCCGATGCATGAGCCACAACTTGATAACTGGCCTGGTCTGCAGTATGCGCGTGCAATCCGACAACCAAATGAAAATATCTCTGATCCGGGTTAGGTTTTCCCTTCTTGCGCATGTTGTTGCTCGTGGTTTCGCTGAAGTGCAGACGGCCAACCGTGACTTTCGTAACACGTTCGCCGCCTAATTCAACCCTATAATGGTATCTGTCCTAGAGCTTGATCCTAGAGTATCTAATTACATCAATGATTTGTATGTATGCTTGATATGAAACTCACGTCACTGGGTGAAATGGTTTCTTGCTTCTGTCGCTCTGGCTTTGTTCGACTCTGATTGTTTGCGACGGAGATTCCACCTTGACTCCGTAAAAATGCAACTGAAAGCCGCTTATCTTCTTTAGGCCTTCACCAGTTCTGACAAATACAGCCTCCCCTTGAAGCTGCGCGTGACACGTTATCTGAAAGGTTGCAACGATTGAAGAGTGCTATTCGCGAAATGAAGATATCAATATAGAATTTCAAGAAAGAACCGCGTTCTCACTTGGAAATGATTCTTCTTCTGGCAAACGAACGCGTCGTCCGAATTACTGAAATTAAACCCTTTGTCGGCGTCCACTCGATAATGCGGCACCGGTAGCTCCTTGAGATTATGGTCACAGAGAGAATGCCAAGACGTTTGTTGGAAAGGGTGGAATCGTATGCATTGGTAACTAGCGTCGATATAATTGCTATCGGCAACTTCGTCATTGTCCAGCACCGCGCTGCTGCTACTGCAACTGTGCTCCACGGTGCCCAGCTCAGGTTCCTTGAGAAAACAACAAAATCACAAATGAGAACCGAGACCAATCGATCACGATTTATCGTGATCACGAACGAAACGCGAAAACACCTGCTTAACATGAATAAGACCATCCTGACTGAGCTTTCGTTTTTTAGGAGCCGACTGTAGAGAAGAGTACAACGTGCTGATGCCGGCCGGACTGTGCTCGTGTGACAGCGGCACCAAAGGCGGTCCTATCTGCTGCTGAGCCGGTAGATTCGGCGTTCCCGGCGTGAGGTGGGGCGTCAAGACCGGCGTCAGTAGCAGAGGATCCGTTGTCGTCGAAGGCAACGCTCTTGGCGAGGGTGGCAATAAATTAGGAGCGTACTGGTTGTTCTGATGATGCAGCAGTATCTCTTGCAGAGCCGCCTTCTGATCTGCTCAGACAACAGGATGAGATTACAAGTCACAATTTCACGATAATCCCGTGAAAGATTTGACATACAAAAACGAATTCAAACTCACGTGGCGAGTGCACATGTTGAGTGTCATTGTGCCCCGGCGGTGAGTACGGCGGCTCACTTCCACTGTCCGGTGGACTTTCTGGTAGCGCGTGTCTGGAAGAAACACGACGCTCTAGATTTCTGTCTCGAGACGACGACCCGTGGCCGTGCTCGCTTCGCACATTTCGCACTTGGACGACTTACGGATGAACGTATGACTGCGGGTCCTTGTAGCTGCCGTTGTTAGGTATCGTCGTGGTGCCGGAAGCGCACGTTATCGAGACTGGATGAGCCTGTGTCATCTGCGGCGACGGTAATCGCGCAGGTGGTGGCTGCTGAGTGATCGGTGCTGCTTGCGGCGTCGGTGGCTCGGCCACCCGGCCATTGTGAACCGCCGTTCCACCCTCGTTCTCATTGTGAGCGAGGGTGTCCGCGAAGTATCTGAAACGCATGAATTCGCGATCGTGATCTACAATAATTGCCTCATTTATTTACTTATTATTTCTACGGAGTGTCTACTATTTATCCAGACCGTCGTCGATTCTCTCTTACGTCTAGAATCGGACTGGAAATCCCGTTCGGTTATGCGTCGTGTTTGATAAATTGTCGAGATGAAATATAGATACACATTCGATAGAAACTCCCGGGGCAAATACACGTATTATGTCAGTGCCTTTTTATTGATCTTTCGAGAACGGTGCATGGTCGCGGTCGCGCTCGTTGGATTTGCAAAACATGAGATATCGTTATCGTCTGAATCACGGGCGCGTTCGGCGTTACACGGAAAACGATGATGTTTCGCGCAGAGTTTTCTCCAGCTGGCTCTCACGAGAAACTGCCAGAGAGTTAACTGCACGGCATGGCTGCAGGCGCTATTATGCAGTTTCCATTCAATCAAGGAAGACAATCCGAAGGCGACGCGAGGAGTTTTCTACGAACTCTCAGATCGGAAACGCTCGGCCCGATAACGATTCGCAATCTCCGCTGAACCATGTTAAATAACGCGAAGCGCTTGTTCCTTTTCTCGTTACGTAAGTCGGGCAATTATGCCGTCAGCCGAATGGAAATTCCGGATTCTTTAAATATAAATTACTCCCCCGAGTATTGTTTTCTTTATTAACCTTCGTCACGGCATATATTAGCCGCCGCATCGCGGATCACTCGTAGCGCGATACCTCGCGCGTTTCTGTCTCTTCTTCTTCTGTTTTCCAGCCAAACGCGCGCGTAACTAAAATTTCAAAACTGGGCAAACGGAGAGTACCTTCTCTCTCCGATATACAGGATGTCTCAGACTTTCTTCCGCAATTTTGTGGAAACGTAGAACGGATTGAAGTGCATACAAAAGTGCTATACGGATATACGCAATAATAATTGAAATATTAATTTTAAAAAATTGGTGAATAATCACGCGCGATATGATAGATGAATTATAGTGACGAAGTGTGCTATTATGTGCTGTTATATGCTTATATATTAGGTTAAATTGAACAAAAAAGCCCTTTATTATTTTGCAAATAATGACGTAGATTTTTAGTTTAATGAAAGAAAATTGTTATAAGATTGTTCACGATAATGCACTTTCGAGATTTATTGCAAATATCGCAAAACTTTTATGTTCAATCTGTTCTACGTTTTGACAAAAATTGTGGAGGAGAGTCTGTAGTGCGATTCTGTAACTCGTTATTGCAGTTAACGACAGTCTCGTTATCGTTGCGCAGCCTTTCTACAGAAAAAGCTGCGCAATGATAACAAAATTGTCGTTAACTGCAATAACGAATTACAGAATCACACTACTGGGGGGACACCTTGTATAAGAGACGATCCTTCGCTGGCGCCGCGTTTCGCATTTGTTTTGCCTCTCCGCTCTTTGAATTTTCTCCGCTTATCTATGTAACCGACGTTCCTTCAAACTCGGGAATAACATATCTATTGCGCGACAATCACGACGTATGCACATGCACGTATCAAGATAACATGCACCTCGGTAGTCGCAAGTAACGTGAGAAATAACAAAAGAACGAAAGGCGAGCGCGAGTAATAATGTTGAAGAGGGCAAGACAGAGAGATAGATGAGAGAGAGAGAGAGAGAGAATTTTCAGAATCCGAGATGATGTTAATGAATTTATCCGCACGTAAGCTCAAAGTATCGATTCCCGGACACGTACAGTAAGTTGCAAAATGGTTTAGACACAAGGAAGCTAGTAAACTCACCAAACTATTAAAATTGGAAGTCATTACTGATGATGAAATAAATTGTCTCGCGTTCGAAAAGCGGCTCGATCGAGCGAACTCTCTCTCTTTCTTGAACTTTTTTATCGAGTTAAACCTCGAATTCCGCCGCGGCGGCCTCTCGACGGGACGCGAGCGCTGGAAGTCGGATTACCAGGGTTAGCACTGCACGCAGTGATTCCATCAATTCCGTTCCGTCTGCCTCTGTCATTATATCATTACACCTCTACGCTTACTATCTGCGCGATATCTGGCTGTGGTGCGAGCGTGTGTGTGTGTGTGTGTGTATGCGCGGGTGTACGTGCATATGAGTGTGCGCGTACAAAACGTACGCTACATGTGTTTCCTGGTGTATGCGATTACGTCAGTAAACGCGGTCAGGTCTGGAATAAGATGTTTTTGTGCCCGACGCTAAATGGAAGGTTGAAAACCCGCGGTTGTATATAGTCTCCTCTCCGTCTACACGCCTGTCTGCTTGTGTGTGAGTGCGTGCGGTGACCATCAAGGCCAGTGTGTTTCACACTGACATCCGCTATTTAATGGCACGCAATAGGAGCCCGGTATGTAGACGCGCTCGCGGACGTAGAACGTAGATGTAATTAAAGAAAAGACTCATCCTTCCTTTTTCAAGCGTACTTTTTTGGTTTGGAGCGCGCTCCAACTCGAAGACGAATCGTGACGCGCGAAATCACCGATCGCTAAGATCAAAGTACCACACCGTATCTGGATACCAATAACATTGCTATCTAATCGTGGACATTCTTATTGTTTTGGTTTTTCAATACGAATATTTAAACTTTCAATATAGAATATACAGAAGCCGTCTTCTAACGATTAACAATGCCGTTAGCCGTTGTGAGCAGATAGAAATCATAAACTAAATGCAAAATTCTTTTACTATTTCGCAAATAATCACGTAAATTTCGAGTTATTCATTAAAGAAGATTGACGAATGATCACACCCATTACGGTTGATGAGCTGTGATGGCGATGTCTGCTATCATATGTTTGTACGTTAGATCAAACTGAACAAAAAAGTCTTTTAGCACTTTGCAAATAACTACGCAGATTTTCAGTTATTCATTGAGGAAGATTGGCGTATTATCGCGCACAATCATCTTCTTTAATTAATAACCGAGAATTTACGCGGTTATTTGTCAGCTGATAGAGGACTTTTTTGCTCATTTTAACCTAATGTATAAAAACAAGACAGCATTTAATAAAAAAAAGTCTACGTGGTTATTTGCAAGATGGTACACAGAGATTTTTCTTCAGTTTGATTTAATATACAAGCACATGGCGGCAGACGTCGCTGTTCATCTATCGTATTACGCGTGATTGTCCACTAATCTTCTTCAATTAATAACTTGAAATTTTACGTGATTGTTTGCGAGATAGTAGATGATGGTTGTGCCAACCACACAGATTCAATAGTAAAATACGGAACAACTATTTATGTGGTTGCTGTAATCAAAGAGCAATGGTTGAGTTACTTATGTTGCAGCAGTGATAATACATGGTTAATAAACGCGGTTCATCACGTGGCAATTACAAGTGTATATTTATACAATCAGAACCAGTTTTCTCATATATACATCTCTAGCTGTGCGCATAATGAATTGATTTTGTTTTCTAACATCGCTACTTTGCAATATAGCATTGATTAATGCAACTATATCTATATTTAGCTTGTCTATGCAAAATAATCTCCTTATTAATTTCTGGTTGCCACAACCAGATCACGCGCAACTTTATTGATGTAATTGACTCACCAAAATAAGTCAAATTAACCATACACATAACTATCATACAAAGATATGTAGAATGATGCAGCTATTTGCTTACAACTAAATATTTTTTGTTAGATGCACCACATCTCTTTTTTCCGTGTACACATATATTTTATGTTGAAACTTTAAATATTCGTATTAAAAGATTAAAACAATAAGAATGCCTAAAGTTAGATATCAGTGTTATTAGCGCTCAGACATTGGAGGCCGATTTGTCCAAACTTACGGTTAGCTAACTAACAGTTGAATCATGTGGCTGTCTTTGTTTTTCTCTCAAATTAAATAAAGACAGACATATGATTTAGCTATCAGGTAGTCTACTAAGAGATGGGAAAAATCCACCCTGGTATTAAGAGAAATAAATTTGCAAAACAGTACCAATCCATCTTCAGGTGTATTCAATTTCAAAACTTTTCGTCATCGTGTTACAAATTTGAATTTATCGCTTTTAGAATTATTTTCAATATCTGCAAAAATTGCTTTTAAATTCTTTTAATAATATTTTACAAACTAAGTTAACTAGAAAAAAAATAAAATTCTCTTTTCTTTTTCAAGAAGTTTTAACTAACACTCCATACAAAACTTACACAAAATTTCAACCTGCACTCCATGAAAGCCATTTGTTGTAGGCAGAATTGCCAAGAAAGTTATATATTCTTCCTTATGTATTCTTATGGCTTCATATTTTCCTATGTATTCTTATGTATTCTAGGGCTTATATTTCCGCATCCTCTGGCATTCTGTCGATAATATTTTGCAATTTTGCATAACTTTTCATGCTCTATCAGATAGCACTAGGTGCCGTGTTGGCAACTCGTTTGACTCTTTCGTACCATTCCCGTCGGAAGTAGAACGACATCGCGTCGCGCTTATGACGCGCGTGTTGCCGGCCGATCGAGTAAAACGAGTAACATCGTCAAAACACAATGACCATTCCGATGATAATCGCCGTGCAGCATTTCTACGTGGTGACGGTGTAGCCTGGATATACATGTATACGTGGTGTCGAGATGGAGCAATTTAGGAATTTAGCCTGATGTACATCGTGTCATTCGCAGGAAACGCGTGCTCGTGCTACTGCTGGATGGCAAGCGTATTATCCGTGAATTCGTTAATTAGCATAATTCGAAAGGGGGTGCGTACATGCACGTACGCGCCGAGCGTCACGAAGCACGTATGCGTGTTTCCTCGCGCGGCGAGAGAGGAGCGAGAGTTTTCGCGATTGCGGAATTCCGTGGAATACTCAGTCGTCATAATTGACCTTCGTACTCGCGGAAACATCTCCGAATATATATATATATATATATATATGTTCGTGAGAATATAAAACGGATTGAAGTAAATATAAAAGTCCCATAGCGTTTTGGCGATATTTGCAGTAAATCTCGAGATATTAATTAAAGAAGATTCGTGCATTATCGCGCACGATCATGTAACAATTTTGTTTCATTAACAACTAAAGATCTACTTGGTTACTTGTAAAATGATAAAGGGTTTTTTTGTTCAGTTTTACCCAATGCACAAGTACGATAGCACACGTTGTCACTACAGCTCATCTATCAGCAATCTTCTTTAATTGATATCTCGAGATTTATTGCGAATATTGCATATAGGACTTTTATGTTCACCTCAATCCGTTCTACGTTCCCGAGACGAGCGAAGACAAATCTGGAACACCCTGTATATGTTGCGAAGAGACGAAAAATTGATGACTTATGATAAACAGTGCGATAAAGAGAGAGGAAGAGGGAGAAATACATGTATGTGTATGTATATATATATATGTGTTTAAAGAAAATTATTTTGCTCGTACATAGGCACGTGTTTGTTTTCGAGGCTCGAGATCATCGCGCACGACGATACGCAATTACGCACGTGCAACAAACACGCGCTTTGTAGGCGTTAACGATGGCTTCCGAACGCGGCTGAAATGACCGAACTGTCGCCAAACCGAATCGCTCCGCGACGAGATCGAGTTTCCCGTCCGATCGGCCGCAAGTTGAACGTTTTCTGAAATATGCACGCATTGTGATTTTCCTTCGCAAACGCGTCCACGGAAAAGTTTCTCCAATTCTGGCCGTGCATGTGTGTTGTCTAAAATTCAATTTCTGGCCGTGCATGTGTGTTGTCTAAAATTCATTCGTCCATTATTTCATTGATAGAAAATCATGACTTTAACATACATAAAAGACAAAAAATAATAAGAGAAAAAATAAAAAAATAGAACATACATGAAAAAAAGAAAAAAATAGAATTGCAATAGAGAGCAGGAAATGAACTTATTAAATTTCAACGAAAATTCAAACCTAGCATCTGGCAATTACAGTCTTTATGATAGATAGACATGTCAAAATAGTAAACCGCAAAAGATCATTAAGCATCGATAATATTTCGCTTTAATCGATCTGAAATTAACCTGAAATTATCTTGCGCTAACTTATCGATATTGTATGTTTATTTTTTTCATTTTGTACTTCTAATTAATATTTTTTGCAAACTCACGTCGCAGGTTGTTCGCTGTCGCTGTTGATAAAATCCTCCAGCTGCGAGAAATCTAGGGCTTCGTTGTCAATCCCTCCGACAAAATCGCCGCGACCTGAAAAAGAAAGAGCAGGTGCCCCATGTTAACGTGACAGAAATTGATCCTCGTCCTCGAACGAAGGAAGGGAGGGGGATGGACGTTATTATTTCCGACGAGCGGTTTTCCCGTTCTAATAAAATAATGCGTAATTAAAAATATCGCGGCGAATCGTCGCCGCGCGCGTTTCGCACGACGGGCGTTCGTCGCGGCGCTCGGCGTTGCGTCATAAGGCGCAAGAGGAACATCTATGTGGGAAGATTTCAAGCGATAACGTCGTCAACGTCGAGAGCGAGTGGGGATGCGCGCGATCTATTGTAAGCATTGCGGTTTTTTTTTCTCGAAACGCAATGCGATACGCAATTGGGTCGCAAAATCGCGCCTGCAATTCAGAATCAGTCGTTACTTTAGTTAAGTAACTGTGTAGATATTGCGCGACAATGTATGATACTTCATACTATATGTATACAAACTACTATATACAAGCTTATACATTTAGAGACATAATGGGAGATTATGCCACTATAACATAAAATGTTAAGTTGCATTATTCCTCCTCTTTATACAGGGTGTCCGGTAACTCACGAAAGAACCGTGGTGTACAGATAGATTAGGTTAAACTGAGCAAAAAATTCCTTTACTATTTTGCGAACAACCACGTAAAATGTTGAGTTATTAATCCGAGAAAATTCGTGAATTTCTTTTTTACGAATCACGCATTATTTTTTCAGACTAGCAGTGCTGGTATATAATGTCGCATAAATCTATGTAAATAAAAATTGGTTACTGAAGCCAAAAATAAAAGCTATGCCATATTTTATTTTATTTTTTTTTTAACACAATTATTCTTTTTTTCGTGTGCGATTCTCAAAAAGATCGTATTGCAACGCACAATTGCATAAATTACACATCCTTAATTTCGAGCGGTAACGTCAAGCGAGTCGCTGTTCCGATGCTCGTGACGACGGCGACGAGGGAGAAAGTCGATTTATTGAATGAACACGAGCGAATTTCACGGATGATCGCAACTCGAGAACGACGCAGTCGAATGAACAGAGTGCCAACGAGCGAAGAAAAACGGTCGCGCGCGAAAGAACAAAGTGCCCATGCCGAAATTTCGTGGATATCGCGACTTTTATCGCGCTTTTCGGGAAATCGTGATTTTCACGGCGCGATGAAAATCGAGCCGAAGAGGCGTCTGGTGAGGCTCTCGAACGAGGGAGACGATCGTCCTTAATCAATCACAATCAGTCGATGGTCCTGATGCAGCTTGAAAATGTAGAAACGCGATCGCGCGCTTTGTACACGCTCGAGCGTTCAAGACAAGCTAAATCGTCGTGTATGATACGTGATTTCCGCTCAGACATTCATGGACGTTCGAGCGCTGAGAGTCAAAAGAATGAAAACACTTTTTAAGTGAATAACGAGATCATAACGTCATCGTATTTGTCCATGTGTTGCTTAAAAAAAAATATTATGTCGTCTCGCATCAAGATTATAGAATACAAGATCGCTTGATTTTTAGGAGTTTCAGTTCGCGGCAGCGAAAATTCCGACCAGCTCACTACATTCGCAACGGCGATTTCGTCACGTGGCGTTCGTCGCGATAAGAACGTGCCTCGTACGTGACAATAAAAATGGAGATTTTCCAATGAATCAGAGGCGAGTGACGTTGAGGACGTAGGATATGCATGGCGCTTGGAGTCCGCGTAAAGAAATCGGAGGGGCGAGCCATGGGACGTTGGCGGATGAGTCGTTGCCAGCCAACCCTTCTTCACCAGGGTATCGACCAAACACCGCCTCCCACCCCCTCTCATCCCCCTCCGTGCCGTGAGCACACGGAGGAGGCGGCTTAAATCTGAATATCATTACACCAGATATGCGCCCATGCGCACGGTTACAAATTATCGAGTTGGTATCAATATACCTGGAGATTAGAATAATCAATATCGTACGCCGCGACTCTGTCTGCGACGGGGCGAGAGTTTCCCCGATACACAATGTAAGAATTCACGACGCGGGACGTATTACGGACGAGTCGCGAATGACAATCGATTCGCGGGATTCGCGCAAGGACGGCGAAACGACGGGACTTTCACCGTGCGCGTCCCTTTTCCTCGCGTACAAGTACGGGAATATCGATCGTTCCAGTCGAGGCGCGACGTGACCCATTGGCGCGTCCAATTGTTAATTAGTCGAAACATTCGCGCGGCCATTTCAACTCCTAATTAGCCGAAGGAGGGCAGGAGGGAAGGGGAAAAAAG